AGAAAGCTGGAGGGAGTACATTAGCTCTTAAATGCTTCAGTGTGGCTGCAGGAGAGCGAGAAAAGAGTCTCCAAAGATGGACACTGTCCATTCCTTCCCTTCTGGTACATGCATGCCACTCCACCCTTCAGGAGGCACAGTCTATTACCCTCTCCTTTAATCTGACTAGCCTTGAGCCTTGCCATGTTCAAGAGAATGTGGAGAAAGTGACCCTATGCCATGCCAATCCCAAACCTACTCTTCAAAAGGCCTAGCAGCTTTGTTGCCCTTAGAAGCCAGCTCACATTCAAAGCCCAACGTTCCCTGAGACCTTCTTGCTATAAGAAAGACCAAAAGACACTTGGAGAGACTGTGTGAAAGGATGGAGATGTCCAGCCAGTTCCCAGCTCATTAGCCATCCCAGCTGGGGTTCCAGGCATGTGAGTGATTAATTCCCCTTAGATATCCCATGCCTGCAGTCACATGTAGAAAATCTGCCCAGCTAAGTCCAGTCCAGAATGTAGAATCAGGAAAAACAAGAGGTGGTCTGGGGCCAGTTTACTTACACACCAATAGAAAGAGGGGGTGTGTGCCCCTGAGGCAGGGGGAGGAGTCAAAGAATGCTTGAAGCAGCTTCTCCCCAGAGTGAACTAGAGCATGCACAGCCCTACCTGAGGTCCACGAGACACAAAATTAAGGAACAAAAGATCTCGCACTCTTGTATAGACTGTAGCCCAGAGCTGGCCAAAGAGAGCTCTGTAGAGAGAAGCGCTCATCTGGCACTTTAGGGGTCTCCAGCCTGGAGAGGGAGCTGCAAGCACAGGGGTGGTGGCCTCGGGACCAGAAGGCATCAAGAAGCTGCAAGTGGAAGTGCTCCAACCTGACAGGAGTGCTGTGAGCCCATGTGAGATATGCCTGGGGATTCCCTGAAATGACAAGGAAAGACCTGGGCAGAGGACCCCCATTGTGGGCAGAAGGGGGCTGAGGCCATGGAACCTACGCTGTTATGGTCATTGGGACCACCTGTCCAGCATGGTCCCAGGAAACACAGGTACCAGCAAGAAGGCCTGAAAGTGATAGCCAAGAAAATATCAAGAGTGTACGTGAAACACCTTTGGGGACTCCCAGAATTAGGCAAGAGGAACCTAAGGAGGGCTGGTATTCCAAAGACTTTAGGCAGAAAAGATACCCAAAGAACTGCTTACTACTGTGATTCTGACCCTATTTTTGACTCCACAGGCTGCAGTCTTCTATGGCTGGGGATTTGGCAGGGACACTAAAAGGGTTTTGCTGAGATGCTCAGAGTCTATGTTCTCCTGACAAAGAACCCAATTTTCCAGCTCTTCCCAGAGACAATTCTGTCTCTGAACCTGGATTTGAGGTCTAGGAAGGAGGTGCTTTCTAGATCCAAGAGACCTTTAGAGGCAAACAGGGACTTGGACCAACAGTGAGACAGGGACTTAGTCAAAGGGGGCTGGGTGCCTTCAGTGGGCCAGGAGAGCCCTTCTATGTGCAGGGAAAATAAGACTTTGTGGAAGCTTCCAGGGCCCTGGACCAGAATGGCAAGAGGGACCACTGACTATAAAAATGTCCCAAGGTATCAAGTCAGTTAAGGATTGAGATGCGGCTCAGTGGGAAAGCATCTGCGACTGATTAGTGATGTCAACCCCAAGGACTGAGGACAATGGCAGCCTCATGTCTGACTCTGTGGACTCAGCCAAAGGACCGTGTCTCGTTTCTCCTCAGTTCTAAAGTGTTGGAGAAAGCTAGCAGCTGAACAGTAAGGAGCCCCTTATTCATGAGGCCAAAACCCTCATTTATCAGGAGCTCTTAGCAAATGCTTACTGGCTCCCAAAGGCCTTTGGGAAGCTTGGCTGGGAAGCCTCTTCTCTGTCCCCTGAGCTGCCTCCAGTGAGCTCGAGAGGTCCTTTTTAGGGTGCTGCTCCAAAGCACAGCCCTTCCTGGGCTACTCCACACCCTCCAACCATGACGTGCACCCTCTGTTGTGCGGGCAGGTCCACCCCCACATGTCCTGGCTCCAGCCTCATCTGCATTTAACATCCCTTGTTGGGCTGTGGCAGAGAATACTCAACAGACTCATATTAAAAATGCCCTTTAAAATTCAAAAGCTTTGAACTAAAGAAATATCTCGAGAAGTTTTCATGGAAAGTTCAGCTCTGCGGGTTCAATTCACTACACTTAGATGCACCTTTTCAAATAATAGGGAAAAAATGTAACAGGGTCAGACCCAATCAATATGCTTGTTCAAACAGAATTGCAGGGACTGTGATGTGCACACATTTTGTACTCTGCCTTTGTACCCTGCTACTCGCTCTGAAGAAAGGTTTCTTTGCTCGGAGAGCAATGAAAGTGATAGCCTTTGGAGTGGAGGCGGCAAAGCAATGGCGTGTTTATAGGGCTGGGAGGGGCTGCCATTTTCACAGCCCCCCAGCCTGGTCTCTTTGTTCTTTTCATAACGGCTTGAAACCCACATGGGCAAAGTCCCAGCATCTGATGCTGAATCAGAAGCAGAGGGCTCCCAGAATTTGCCTACTATGTCTCAGAAATGTGATTTGTGGATTAGACAAATAATTTGCTGCTTCTTTCCCACCCCTGGTGCAAACACAAAAGGACTGTGGTTGGGGAAAACTTCCAAAGCCCAAAATGGGCTCTTGTCTAGCTGAGCCAGGGGCCACATTCACCCCCAACTCCTGTCATCCCCAAACTGACTTTGGGCATATAGAGGCTTTCCTGGCCTTGGGCTGCAACCTAGAATAGGCAGGAAAATCCTAAAGAACCCGGTTTAACTGGATACCACAGCCAAGTGGGTAGAGGGAGGCAAATAGGCTAAGTGCAGTTTCTATTCTCACAGCCAGACATGAAGGCAGGCAGAAAAGTCAATGATAGGGAGCAAACAAAAAGTTTTCAGCATCTAGATCAGCCTGGGTGCATCTACTTCACATGTACTCATAAATGTATGTACATCTCAGCTTTAGTCACTGAAACAATGCCCTGGACATGTTGAGAATCTGGATAGTTCAGGAGGCTAAACGGGATATTATTACAACCCCCATATCAGACTAGATCCTAAAGTGTTCCCCCTGGTTCTTGCTAAAATTAGATACCTCCTGGGCTCAGCCTGGGCCCAGGTTAAAGTTACAACTCAGGAGAGGATGTCACACACAGATGCAGGAGCAGCACACTCACACTATCAATCACAATCCCTGCATTTAAAACTCTGCTCAGGTCCTGAGGTCTTGGTAAGAAGCAAAGCTGATATCGTTCCAGAGTGGTCCCCTCCTGGAGGGTCCCAGTCAGCACATACTTGCACCAATGGCCCCATCTTACCTCAAGTAATGAATCCTCTTGAGGGGTTGAGAAGGGGCCAGGCCATGTTGCCTGCTTACACATGTTGTGGCTGGAGCATGCCTTTTCTAAACCACATGTGCTCTTCATGGAGTCTGAGCTGAAGGCCTGTCATGTTCTCTGTAGATGGAAATTTGGTTCATAATTCTCAGAGAAGAGACCACCCCTTCTCCTGGCTGGAGCTGGAGAGAACAAAGTCACCACGTTCACGCCTACACAGGACTATATGTGTGAGACAGAAACTGAGACCAGGAACTGATGTGTGGATAAAGATGATGAGGTATATATACACAATGGAATACTACCCAGCAATGGAAAGGAACGAAGTCTTGCCGTTTGCAACAACATGGATGGAACTCGAGGTGCTATGCTAAGCAAAATAAGTCAGTCAGAGAAAGATATCATACGATTTCACTCATGTGGAATTTGAGGAACTCAACAGAGGAACATAGGGGAAGGGAAGGAAGAATGAGATAAAAACAGAGAGGGAGGCAAACCATAAGAGACTCTTAAATACAGAGAAAAGACTGAGGGTTGCTGGAGGAGAGGTGGGTAGGGGGATGGGTTAAATGGGTGATGAGCATTAAGGAGGGCACATTTCAAGATGAGCACTGGGTGTCATATGTAAGAGACGAACCACTGGGTTCTACTCCTAAAGCCAATACTACACTGTATATTAACTAACTTGAATTAAAAAGAAAAATGTCTATGTCTACAGACGGCCACCCTGTGTGTTTTGGCTCCTGTACCTTTTTTTTTTTTTTTTTAACTTTTGCATTCAGTTATTGCAGAATCTCTGCTCTCCCCTGCCTCCTCCTCCCCCACCCAACCTCTTTCATCTGTTATGGGGATATCTTCAAGTAATGCCTAAAACCAGAGGGTTTTTTATTTTAAAATTCAAAAAGACATCAGTAGCTAAAAAGCAGCAGTGTCCCCTGTTCATAGTGCTTTGGAATCTATTTTCCCCAGTTTAAATAGTTGGAACGTCAGTCTAAACCCTTCTATTGCGCTTCTTTGGCAATAGAGGAAAACTGTCCTAACAACAAACTTGGAAATCCACACATCCCTAAATTGAACTGGCCCCTTGGCTTCTGTTTTCCTACATCACAAGTCAGAACGAATTAAATACAAATCCAGTTTGCAATGGTCCATCACTAACCCGCTTCATTGGAATGAGCCGGCTGCGTGTGGGTTGGAAGGGGGCCCGTGGCGTCACTCCTGCTATCTTGGATTGCCAAACCAACCCCTCGTGGGAGTCCGCGGCCCAGCGGCCCCTCGACCAAGGTGGGGTGGAAGGCCACTGTGAGCAGCTGCTGAAGCCCAGCCAAGGGTCCCAAACACATGTCTCTCCCCCTCAACGCCCCCCTCCTCGCCAGGCCTCCAAAGTCAATCAAGTGTCAAGGAACTGTCACCAGGAGAAACTTTTCATAGGTCACACAAGCCGGATCGAGAGCTGACACTGGGGATTTTCCAAAGAAATGGAAAAAAACGAACACAGGCCATCCATGAGAATATATAGCCAGCAAGAAGCAGGAAGCATATCAGGTTAATATTTTAATCTGTTCATCACATTTTTTTTTTGCAAACCATTACACCTTTATTTAAATTAACTTTTTCTTGCAAAATATTCATTTCATTTTTCCAACAAAATCTTATAAAGGCAAAAATAAAATCTTATTTTGGCAAATGTCATGAAGTTGATACTGGCAGCATATGGAGTTAGTTAAAAATAGACGGCAATTTCTAAATATAGTTAAGATTTTTTTCCCCCCGACCATAGTCAAAGACAAACTTTCATTTAAAGAGTGGCCCCATCCAATGGAGGGGTTTTTTTTTTTTTTTCCTTTAAACCCCATTTTCTGTATGCAGAATATCATGAGCTCATGATTTAAATAAAGGGCCACAAACACTGTGCCTGGCTTGGCACAGCCTCACCTGAGGCTGGAAGTCAAGTCAAAATCCTGCTGCTGGCCTTCAGAGATGGTGGGGACACACTGCCTGCCCTCTGGCCACCAGACCCATGTCCTAGAGAAGCTGACCTAGGTTCTCCAGGGCAGGCAGCAAAGCCCTATCACAGCCCAGTGTGGAGTCAGGGAGTTTTAGGTAAACGCCACCCAGTGTGAAGTTTATTGCTTATGATACAATAAAAGGTGCTTCCTCTCACCTTTTCTGTATTTCAAAGTGTGTGTGTATATATATATAATTTTTTTTAATTAAAGCAAACTGTTCTGTTTTTCCCAAGAAGAGCCCTTTGCTGAGAGAACCCCATGGACAGGTCGGGAACCAGACCTCTTGAATACACTATTGCCCCTAAACCAAACCCAAGGGCCAAGGCACAGACTTGGGCTCCACATGCCACCCTGGTGGAGTTTCTCCCTCCAGAGCTGGTCATCAGGTCAGGTCAGGGACGGCTGACCTCTGCAGCTAAGGGCCCCTCTTCCCCCAGATAGCATGCCAACAAGCCTAACACTGGGCTCCCCTGGAAGCACATTTCAAATGCAACCTTCACCTGAGTTCACTGGATGTTGGACTGGCCTCTGCCTGCCCTTCTCCCCTACCCATACCTACCACCCAAGTGGTACCTGAATCTGTATGTGCAGCTCCAAAATTTTGCATCCTCACCTTTCCAGTCACTCAGCCCTTGAGGTGAACATTATAAAATATATTCTGATTCTAAAATACAGCATCAGTATTTTACAGTGTGTATCAAAAGTGCCTTTGTCATATGTAAAAAGGAGTCTGAACTAAAGTTGGTGGTGAGGGGAGGGGGTTAGGACCTAGCCCTATAGTGAATGCCTCGCAGTTGTGGTGGGCTTCTCCTTCCTCCAGCCAGAAACCCTTTTGGGCTGGGAGGGGGTTTCCTTGGGGGAAGGAAGATCAATCTTCTTGGAGGAAACTGGTTCCACTGGGCCCCTGGCTCCAGACTTCTTTGCACGTTGGGTCACGGGTCAGTCACTGCCTGGGCTGGCAAAAAGCACAGGAGACAGTGAGAGTGTGGCAGGACCCCAGCCCACATCTGGGGAGCAGGCAGAGGGCATGTCTGCACACACAAGACAGGGAATGGCAGGCTAACAAGACAGAGAGCAGCAAGAGCAGGGGATGGGGCAATGCGGCCGCTGCTGGGGGACCCTCAGCTTCTAGGACTCATGCGCACTTGGCCTCACCCTCTCTCCACCCTTACCACTTCTAGAAAGATTGCCAGATGCATGCTGACCCCTGCTCTGACAGGGCAAAAGGCCCAAGCAAAGAGAACCTTGGGGTCCAGTTCTGGCCTTGCCCTTCATTCACTGAGTGACTGACTCTGAATAACACTCTCTGCCTCCATGGGTCTTGTTTTTTTAACCTAAAAACTGAGTGGTCATACCCACCTCCTAATGAGGATTTACCCTAACATGAGGGTAAACACAAATGTGGATGTGTTCTGAAAAAAGCATTAAAGGCCTATCTCACAACAATGGGGGTGTCAAAAGCCAGGAGGAACAGAGCCTTTCCCCCACCTCTCTGTGGCCTGGGGGTGGTGTCACCAAACTCAGATCTCCAGGAGAAATCTACACACCCTACTGTGGACGTGACAGGTCCCTGTGGCCCTTAAAAAGGACGTGTGAAGTATTTTCCTGTAGTTCTTCAGTCACGGGGTCTCGAATGCACACTTCTCAAGAACCTGGCCCACGTAGGCCAACCTCTTCCTTCCACCATCAGACTGGTGGGGCACCTAGGTTGGGGGACAGCTGCTGAAAATCACGACCCACCCCCAACACACATACTCTCCATCCCTCCCTTCTCTGGACAACTAGAGCACCTGGGGGTGGCCCAGATGAGTCCGTGGTGATGGGGAACAAAGGCTCTGAACTTGCACTGTAGGAGTTCAAACTTGGTTCTGACACTTACAGCTTCAACTCCTTGGGCAAGTCCCTCAAGGTCTCTGAGCTTCATTTCCTCAGCTATAAAATGGGTATCTTCATAGGGTGGTGGTGTGGATCAAAGGAGATGCTTAGCACAATGCCTGGCACATAGCAGGTACTCAACAACACAAACCACAAGAAAGAGAGGGGAAACCCTACAAAATGCCAGTGATATAGAATGTCAGGAAGGGGACTAAAGAGACTTCTGGTCAGACCCTCCCCTGTCCAGGTCAGGCGACTGGGCTCAGGCCACAAACTCACCACAAGATTGGACCAGACACTGGGGCCTCTGGGCTCTTCTTAGGGGCTCCTTCCCTAAATCCCTCCCTGCCTCTCATCACTAACTGCTCTCATGGGCAGGACCCAGAGGGGGTGGTGCAAGAACATTTTGAATAGCTGAGGGCCAACTTCACATTGCCCTGGGAGGCCTTCCCACGAAGACTCCCTTCCTCTCCCTTTCCTGAAGTGATGAAAAGGGCAGTCCTAATCCTTGCCCTGACACCAGAGTGAGGCCCTATCTCCTCACTGGGTCCCAGTTTTCTCATCTGTAAACCTGGATTTTTTTTCTAGTCTCTCAGTTCTTCTAATTCTCTGGCTAAAGCCCCGAAAGGCTGAGACTAACTCTTCCTTTCCAACCCCCCAATCTCAAACTGCAGCCTGGCCTGCACTGGGCTCCCTATGGGAAAGAGAGCTGGTTAGAAACAGTACAGTTCTGGGGCGCCTGGGTGGCTAGTGGGTTAAGCGTCCGCTTTGGCTCAGGTCATGATCTCATGGTTTGTGGGTTCAAGCCCCGTGTCAGGCTCTGTGCTGACAGCTAGCTCAGAGCCTGGAGCCTGTTTCAGATTCTGTGTCTCCCTCTCTCTCTGACCCTCCCCTGCTCACGCTGTCTCTCTCTCAGAAATAAATAAAACATTAAAAAAAAAAAAAGAAGCGGTACAGTTCTGGCTTCTATTTCAGGGAGGCAGGGGGCTTGGAGCACTCTCAACTGAGATGAAGCCACTTGAGAATGGAGTTCTTAAAAACTATCCATCCCCACCCACTGCCAGTCCAGGTGGGTCTCCCCAGCGGCCGCCTTACCAGCGGAAGGAAGCGTCAGCAGAAGGCACTGTAATCATCTCAGCAGCAGAGGGAGCAGGGAGAGCATGCTCGGCGCTAGGGGAGGGGCAGGTCAGGCAGGGCTCTTACTTGGAAGGTGTTAGACAAAGGTGTAGTGGAGTCCGTTGCTTAAGGGGGGGTAAGGTGGCACCGTCCTGGAGGACAGGGAGCCTTTAGGCGGGAGGAGGGCCAGCTGCTGCGCTAGACGGGCACACAGGAATTAAGCAGGGAGTTAGGCTCCTTGTCTGCTCCTGCAGCAACCGATGCCCCACACTTGGTGGAGCTGGAGTAGCGTGGGCCGCACCACCCACCACTAACAGCCAGGATGGCACACCCTGGGGCCTGGTGGGGCCCCGGCTGGGACTGGCCCAGATATGCGTCTGAGCTGGAGAAAGGGAGCAAGAGTAAGGAAAGGCTGTGGCCAAGGTGGCCACTCGGTGGGGAAGTGAGGGAGGCCCTGTTAATTGTCTGCAGGGTGTGTGGGCATGCTTGCCTGCTGGCAGTGAGGAAGCAGAGATCCATGTAAGGCAAGCACAGGTCAGACAGGAGGGTACCTTATGGCGGTTTGGGGGAGAGTATCCCTGCTGGACCCCTCAACATGGAGAGGAGTCAAAATTACCAAGATGGGCTACATGGAGCCCCCAGGATCATTTGGAGGAGGGGTCTGGGTGAGCCATCTACTGTCTCCCCAGCCACAGATGCCTCACCAACCACCTCTCAGCCCGCTGAGCAGGTCTTCAAGGGAGTGAAGACAGCAGGGATTTCAGGGACTCTGTGCAGGATCAGAGCATGGGGGGCACGGAGAACAGTCTTCCCCTTGTCCAAGGTCACTCCCATGGCTTCTTGAAGTGCTGTTTAAGCTCTGGCCCCCAGACCAGACTCCCAGGGCCAGTCACCTCAGGGCTCAGCAGGCCCCACCCTTGATCACGTCTAGATCCTCTGGCCAGGGCTGGCGGGACTGTGACACCACTTCACACTCTATGATCACTTCCTCCCCAGAAGGCCTGGAGCACACCTAGCCAAGACACACAGTGGCCTCCGCATCTGGGGACAAATAGTACTAAATGATCTGGGAGGGCACACATAGGGAGGGGAGATGTGGGTGGAGGGAGAAGCCATGAGCCTCTTTTCCTGGCTGAGAAAGAAAGCCTTTTACACACATATGTGTGCACGTGCACACACACACCTTCCCATCCCGCGGTGTTTTTTCCCCACTGGTCAGCAAAGTCCATTTCCCAAGTCCTGCTCACTGGCACAGGCCACCCTGATAAAGTGGACAGTGGCTCTGATTTGGGGACCAAAGCAGGAGCTTCCTTTGTCTCACCCCAGCAAGAAATCCAAGCACCACTGCTTTCCTGCCCCCGTGAGGCCAGAAACCTTAGCCTTGGGCCCCTGGCTCAGGGGCCTGAAAAACCTGTTCTTTGCCCACATTTGCAGAGAAAGCTGAATAGCAGCACTGCTCCCAGATTTAATTATGAGCTAGAGGCACCCTCTCGCAGGTCTCTTTCCTCTGACACTCCTGAGCTCCAGTTCTCTCTACCACCTGTGCTGTCCCATCTCACCTCCCAAGCCCTGAGGGACAGGAGAACATTCCAACTGGCTCTCAACCACCACGCCTGACACCTGGCTTTCTGCAGACTCCCTGACAGGCCCTGCTGGACTCTGAGCCCAGGAAGCAGTGACGGAGAGAGGGACTTGGAGGCTGGCATCCATGGCCTCACCTGCCACCTGCTTGCTGCGCTGGGAGGCCTCGGAGGCCAGAGCGTAGGAGATGTTGATGATGCGCTCCTGCTCCTGCAGCTGTGAGTCCAGGTCGGCCATGCTGTTCCGGTCCTGGCCTGATGTCGGCTGCAGGTTGCACATGCTGCAGGAGGGCCAGAAAGCAAGCTATAGGCCCCCACCATCCCTGGCATCTGCCTCAGGAGAGGAGGGTCTCCCTGGCCTGGAGGTTCTCACCCTTTGAGGGGGCATCAGATAAACATAGTGTACTTTCTCTCCAGACAAAGGTGTATGTGCTTCTCCCAAATGCCTTCTCACAGCTTTGTTCCTCCTCTGGGGGATCATGGACCTTAAGAAGAGAGGTCCAGCGCTGGGTTCCTATTAAATCCTGAAGTGAAAAGGCTAAGCTAGCTCTGAAAGAGAGGCTATCAAATACCAGGTTTATGTTTCTGAAGCTCCAGGGGCTGAGGGGACAGGAAAGCCTTGTGTCCTGGCCTCTAGGGAAGTAGGCAAGGTGTCTGGCACCTCAGAACAAGGCTGGCTCTGGTCTAGGGATCTGCGTGAGGGAACACACACCCAGACACTGAGAGGGCCACCCTTGGGGATCATCTTCAACCGTGTCCATCTCACTGTCACACCTGGCTCCACTTCCTGCCTTTGCCAGGATCACAAGACCCAGATCTGGGGGCAAAGGACCAGGATGGCCCTCTATTGAGTATTTCAGGACTTTCCAGATGACCTAGCAAGCTTCCTCACAGATCCATCAGTGCCGTACTCAGAGCCAGCCTGACTTTCACAATAAACAGGGCTTACCTGAGTCAGAGGCCTGGCAAAACACGCACCCTAGTCAGCATGGCCCAGGGCCCATGCAGTTGAAACACCCCTGGGCTCGGCCTAGGAGGCTGTCAGGACTTGGGCATCGTAAGAGCTGACCTGGAGCGAGCAAGGATGTTGCGGATCTTCTCGGCTTTCCGATACCGCGCCTGCAGCTCCTCAAGGCTGGGCGGCTCCTCGGGGTCCAGCTCCACATAACGTTCGGGGATGGAGACCTTCTCTGGTTTGGACAGCTGAGGAAAGGACCAGGCAGTGGTGGTGGTGGGGGCTCAGATACTGGGTTGGGACTTGTTCCTCTGGCCCTGTCCCCTAGCTCAAGGAGGCACATTGAGCCCATAGAGTTAAGCAACTTGCTAAGATCAACACCAGTCCACTATGGAGTCAGGATCTGAACCTGGATCTGACTCCAAAGCCTGTGTTGTTTCTACCATACCAGACAACCTCCTACAGGCCAAGAGAAGGAAAGAGGAAAGAAAGGCAAAACAGCTAGACTGGAAACCCTCTTGATTTAAAAATGATCATTGTTAATGTCGCCTTCAATATGAGCTGATCCCTGCCCACTTCCACAGCCACACTCATCTACCGTGTGGCCTCCTCCCCTGCTCTTTCTTCTGTGTGGGACGCTCTTCCATCTGCTCCATTCTTTCTGACCCTTCGGACCTCATCTCCAGAAATCTCCCTTGTCCCTCACCCACCCCTTTACTGACACCCCTGATACCTCTCCACTGTCTAGTGCAGGGACCTGGCACTCCGCAGCCCTTCAGCAAATACTCCTTGGATGGGTGGATGGATGGGTGGATGAAAGAAAGTGATAATGCTTTTCTATGCCTACAAAAGCTCCTCTGATCTAGACAGGAGGCAGCCATGTGGTATTTATTGCTTGTAAGAGGAAAATGTCCCCCGACTCCCTCCCACCGGTCTCTTACATGAACCTAGTAGCAACCTCAGCCTGATGAAACCTTGCTTAGACTAAGAATGCTAAAGGCAAGTTTTGCACCCCAGGGAATTTCTTCCTCCTTGAACTACAAAGGGACACTAAAATGGGGTTGGTTGATGCTTCTAAAAACAAGCTAAATCCAATCCAGGGCAAATCTGGACTTGAATTAAAACCCATGCAGACCTTTCATTCTGGTGAAAGATGGCAAGAAGTAAGCTGTTCTCTGTTATTCCCAATGAGGACAGGTCCAGAGGAAGGAAGTAGATTACATTGTAGCAGGAGGGATTTAGGTTAGAGATAAGAAAGGACTTTTTCCCCTGGCTGGCAGGCCAATTAGGACACCATGAAGCACACTTCCATTGCCAAAGCAACACGCAGAAACTTCTTGTGTGAATCTGAGAAAGCACAGACCTTTGGCCATTTCAGAGGTGCCAAAGGGAAAAGGTCTGAAGGCAGGGGACTGGCTTCATTAACCCCTGGAGCTCCAGCTGACCCCAGAACTCAGCAACTCCACAGGTGTCAATCTGTCCACACCCTGCTAAATCTATCCTTCATGTGGGGAAAACATTTCCTCTTGTGTAGTTTCAGTGCAGGCCAAGTCCTCATACAAATATTTGTGGGGTATTTGTGGGCCACTGTGCACTTCATTCAACAGAGTTGTCATTCAGGAAATATTTACAGAGCACCTACTATGTGCCAGGCTCTGTGCGAAGTACTAAGTGCACAGGGGTGAACCAAAAAGCCATAGACACTGTTCTACAGAGCTTACAAATGGCACTATATAGGCCACAGAAGACCTTCCCATGTCTTGCAGACCCTGAATCTGTCACCTTCTGATTCCTTGCTCTGTTCTTAGGTAAGAGATAGTCCTGACTGATAGAAGACCCAGGGGTTACTTGCTTTCCTGGGCCTGGCCAGTCATGATGCATTTGTGCCACCAGAGGGCACTAGAAGAACTCAGACCAAAGCTATGCAGGCCTCCTAGGCTCTACCATGGCTGAAAATTACACCTGGGATTTTCAGACCTGCTCACCTCCCACCCTCCACCCACACACCACATCTAATTGCTCAAGTTGGCCAGACTTGCCAGTCGCATGGTCAACTCCTAGTTTTCCAGGGAACATTTCCCAACAATAACAACTACCTCATTACATGCCTACTATGTGCCAGGCCCTGTGCTCACAGCTTTCTGACCATTGCTAATCCTCCAGGTAACATGCTGAGTCCCTTACTCCTCACCACAACCCACCTCACTGTCGAGGAAGCTGAGGCCCAGAGAAGTTAGGTGACTTGCCGTAAATTATGGACAGGCAGATTTTGGATCTGCATCAAAGTGCCTGGCTCCTTTTATTGCTTTGAGCTGCCATTCATATATTCTCCTGACTGCTCTGAAGCTGAGCCCTGTTCCCATTCAGGACAACTCCCCCCAGTGCCGCTGGAAGGGTTGATCAGGCTGTGAACCCAAAGGCCAGTTCTCCTGGGGGAACGTGAAGGAAGCCCCTGCCCTCACCTCTCTGCTGATGTCCAAGTCATAGTCTTGAGGTTCCAGGTCCAACTCAGTGACTGGCATGGCCTGTACTTTCAACCAGCCATTCTCTTCCTTGTCCCTTCTTTCCCCTTGCATGGCCCGTTCCAGCAACTGCAGGTCAAAGTCCTGCTCACGCTTCCACTGGGAACAGAACAAGAAGGTTAATTGTAGTCACTTCCTGACTGCTAAAAAAGCCATGCTTGACCTCTTTTGGATGAGGCTTGCAGCACGGAGGTCCTTGGGAAGAGGGCCTGTGACCTATCAGGGAAAAGTTGTGTGATCACGGGCACCTTGCTGGATTCTGTAACCCTGTGTAATGGAGGAGGCGGCCTCTGCCCCTTTGATATGGCCTGATTCCAGACTGCTGATTTCTCTCCGAACTGGGCCCCCAGGGAATTCACACATGTACCTCCAGGGTCCAGTTCTAAGACACATGACTTTGGACTCATAACGGTCCCCAGGGATACAGGAAGCTTCCAGGTCCAAGAGGGTGACCCCAAAACAGAACTTGGGATACAGCTCCAGAGAAGGGGCTGCCCCTTCTGCTGCCACATAGCTTGTGGAAGACTTTTTCTGGTTCAGGAGCCATACATTCCAGCCCAGAAATGATGGAAAAAATAAGCCCTGTGAGGCCCTGGTAAGCAAGTAGAATGGCCAAGACCCTCGCTAATGGGTACTCCCAAGAGGATACACTTAGGGGTCGAGGATATCGCATCCTCAGGAGGGCTGGGGAGGTCCAAGCAGGAAGAGCTAAACTTCTATTTACCCAGGCATCTATTTGGGCCAGATATTTTAAGTCAGAAAAAAATGAAACTATGTAAAATTGAAATGCTAAATCAAACGCAACATTTCCAAGGCTATTCCTTAGTTATCAACTAGGTAACAAATCATCTCTTCACAGAGGGAAAACTAAAGTGGCCATTTTAAGATCCAAGCACAACTATGCAAGTCTGTAGGCACCTTTCAAATCATCCCGGAGGCCTACACACCATCTTTGACACCAGACAGGTTGCTGAGAGGAGGAAACAGGCTCAAAGCCTCTCTTTTCTTGAGCAGACACCAAGCAGATGCTTCTCCATCCCATGTCACCTCCTCCCTCCCACCCATCTCACGGAGCCCCAAATGGTTACGATTATCTTTGATGCCTCCTCAAGTCCCCCCAGAGCCCTAAACCCATTGCTATACGAGCACCTTTCACCCATTCATGCACAAGCTCTCAATATGGACTCCAAGCCAGTGTAATTGCTCTTAGGTGATGATTTACAATTACAGTATGAAAGAATTAGGCATTTGAAGTTTCAAGGATGAAAAATTAATTTAATGATTCACAAAGAAAATGCACATTTTCTTACACGCTCACAAGTGCCCCAAATAGAGACAAATCCTCATTTAAACCCAGCCTGATTGTTTCCACAAACAGAAAAAGTTCACTAGACTCTACGATGTATCCTGGGGAAGAACCACGCCAATCCATTATCATTAAGCAACACGTTTATTGGCGTTGATGCAGAGACTTACACAAGTCTTTTTTTAAGAGAAAAATTACAAGATATTCAAGTTACGATTTTTAAATAATCTTTCTACATTTGAGACATCAGGTTGTAAAAGGTCAGTGTTACCCCAAATGACATTTGTTTATAAAGTTTAAAAGTTACCGGCTTTGCAGCTTTTCAGGATAGGAGTGTCCTGGGTCTTACCCCTTTGGTGTCTGTGCTAACAGCTGCAGAGAGGTCCTCTGAATACAGAACATAATATATCTTGCCATCCATTCAAACTATTAAATACTAGAAACACAAAAAGTTTTCCATAAGAAATTGTGCGATAGGACTGGAGGAATTAAAACTGAACCACCTTAGGATTGGTAGAATTTATTTAAACGTGCAATCTCTGAAGGCTGTGTCTACTGTCCAGGTGTAAGGCATGGACTTTGATAAATGCCCAGACCTCTGGCCATGATCATTGCCCTCAGGCAGTGGGTTGGCTCAGCCTTGCGGGGCAGTTTTTGGGTTTAGTGAATTATGAGTCAGTACGCCTGTACAAAGGGGGCAGCAGAAAGGTGAGTCACACATGGGAGTGCTAGCTAGGCTATGGAGACAAGAGCTGCTATTACAAGCCTGGTAACAAAGAGCACAGGCCAGTTAGAGAATGTTCAATGCAAATTAGAAGCTTCTGTAAACACAATCAGGCAGGATTAGAGAGGCAATGAGCGGTAACACTAAAAGCAAAAGAGCTTGTGCAATGAATTAGGGAAAGAGCAGTCTGGCTAGAGGTCTAGGGAAACGTGTGATTTCAAACAACAGGGAAAAGTCAAATGGAATGTTTCCCAAAAGGACTGAAGGGGACTGTGGGCAGGGTGCAGTTCCGGGAAGCACCACCAGGGGGAAGCACAGAGACCCTGGCTCTCCAGGGACCCCATGAGGCCTTCCAGCACCATAAGCTGTGGGAGACCACGTGCCCTCAGGGTTGTGGAGCACCACCCTGTGCTCAGTTGCTCCATAGGGCATCGCTTAGAGGTTTGGGAGGCAGGTTGGCTTGGGCTCCTCCTCATCACATTGAATCATCTTCCTCCTCCTCCATTCCTCAACTCTGTACACCTAAGTCCTTGACCCAGTTGAGACACGGGATGCTACCAGGGCCTCTCTCAAGCTCAGCTTGGAGAACAAACTTGGGACATTTTCTCTGACTCCTAGGCTCTTGCCGTGACATCCTCACTCCTTCTCTGTTCTGGATCACCCTCTGACCAGGTGACACATGTGGCCTGGGTTGTGGACAAACAGCCTCGTGGGGTGTTTTCTGAACCATCCCGGTTGAAGGCCTACTCTCTCCGGGGGGTGACGTTCTTGCGTTCGGGGAACTCGGGGAAGCTCTGCTCCCTGTCCCAGCCCCGCCTGCCTGGACCCTCCTAACATACTGAGCCGAGATCTCCGGGGAGAGGCTGGCTGAGGTAGCGGGACGAGGGCAGGCCCGCCCTCTCTCCTTGGCTCAGCGTCCTCTTGCGCTCCCGGACCAGGGCCTTCTGGTGCCGCTTCATGCGCTCCAGCTGCTCCTCTGCGCTCATCTTGCCCCGCTGATGGTCCCCTGAGTACAGACGCTCCAAGGCACTCTTGGGTCTCTGAGGAGCAGGGGGGTGAGAGACAGGGCAGCTAGGCTGGGACACAGGGGACAGCCACCCTGCAGCTTCATTCCCTTTCTCTCTCACACACACACACGCACGCATGCACGCACACATGCACTAGCTGGGCTCCTCTTAGCCGTAGAGAACCCCTTTCTCTAAGCACACTCATGGACACAATATCCCTGACCCTCACAGGCTCTCTGGGAAGCACCTCATTCTGCAGATGCAGACGCTGAGGCTCAGGTCGGTCCAGATGGGCATGCATATGGCACGTAATAGGACCAGAACTCAGGGTGCAGACTTCCTGGGTACCCTCCTGCGAGCCTGAAAGGCTGCAGAGAAAGGTGGAGGGTTCGCAGGAAATGGAGAGAGCTGTATGACGCTCTTCTAGGTGGGCAGTGGGAAAGGTATCAATGAGCACATGAGGACAGGGACCCTGACCTCAGCTGAGGTCACCTCTGAGGCCATCCCTGGGGCTCACAGGATTGCCAGTCACCATCCACCTCAGAGCTCTTCCCTCTGTGGGTGATGGAGCAGTGCGTTCCCTAACTTCTCAAGGTAACTCACAGGGAAGGTCACCTTGCTGCTTTCGGCATTGAGACCCCTCCGGAGTGTGACGTAGGGAGCAATGGTGGATGACTGCTGGAGCCTCGACGTGGACCCTGAGAGCCCTTGATGAAGAAAGAGAAGTGCAAGTGTATTTGTGATGGGGTGGACAGGCCACCAGCCCCTCCCTAATCACCTCCCACTTCTGTGAGGGATGCCATGAGGACCTAGCCAACAACACATTCTTCTTCCTCCTTAGGGCCAGGAAGAGCAGGCCCAGATAGAGGATGAGGAGCCAGCCCAGGGATGCTCTCTATCCCCAATAGGGAACAGTGTCCCTGGAGACCTGGAGACTACTCTAGTCTTCCCTCACATGCTGAAGACCTGGGCAGCTTGTCAGGTAGAAAGAATGAAGGGGAAGGGATGTCCTTCATCCTTTCTTCCTGATGCACTCCTACGCATCCTGCATGGCCCAACTTGGATGCCCCACCTCTGTGAAGCCTTCTCAAATGCCCCAGGCAGAATCCATTATCCTTTTATCCTTCAGTTTATTCCTTGGTTACTGCACTAACCACAATGTCAACATATCTGTCCAACTAGACAGCAAATTCAACAATGCCTGGTTGGTTGACTGACTGACTGACTGAATGAATGAATGAATGAACGAATGAATAAATGAATGGAAAGCAGCAGCACCAAGTATTTATTGAACTCTTAACTATGTAACAGGCAGGTACTGTGCTAGGTGTTTTATATAGATTTTGTTCCACTGGCCTTACTATGTAAGCATTACCTGACTATTGTAGAGATGCACAATCTAAGACTCAGAGAGGTCAAGGAACTTGCCCAAGGTCACATGGTAGGAATATCATCAACCATGTGTTTTTCATAGGGTCCTAGAGCTTAGAGAAATCATATCTTGGCTGGCTGGAGCCACTGCCTATGCTTTCTTCACTAACACCAGTCCTTATCAGGGGTGGTCCCTGACATCTGGAAATGGACATCACACTGACAGAAGACACCACTAGCATTTAGCATGTAGGGAAAAGAACGATAAATGTCCTGCGGTGCAAAAAGAATCCTGAGCAACGAAGAAATGTCCTGCCCCAAGTGCCACTAATACTGCCACTGATAAATATCTCCAGGCCACAATGAATTAAGGGAACACTGTCCCTGCGCACAGTGCCAAAGGTTGCAAAATCCAGAGCCTATGCCCTCCAGGGCCAGCTCGGGCCATTGCATGCCTAGGCAGCAAGGTGGGCCGGGAATCCCATAACTCCACAAGTGCTAGAACCATAGCTGTGTCTCCCTCTGCTTCTGCATCTGGCCAAAGAGGGAAAGCACTTGACTGTCCACCGTGGGAAGCAGACAGGAAAGGATCAGGGGAGGAACAGATGAAGGGGTATGGCCAGCCTGCTCAGGGATTCCAGGAAACCCAGATGCAAAAAGGTGGAGAGACCTCCCTTGAAGGAGATTTCTGAGGAGAGGGTCTGGCTATGGGGAAAAAGGGGGATGGGTGAGCCTAAGGCCTAAGTCTGTTCCCATCCCCGTCTTGAAGAGATAGGGGAAGACAATGAGGACATGGCCCAATTGAGAACAGTATTTGTTTAAAGAAAGGACTCATGGAGTCTTTAGAGCGACAAAGAAGAGGAAAATCCCTCTGGAAGGTCTAAGATAGCCAAACTGGAGGCAGTCACCCAACATCCCAGCCTGCAGGGTACAGTGGCTCTGGAGCCACAACCCTGGGACTGTATTCTGGCTCTATCATTTATTTATTATTTGGTAAGTTAGTTAATTTCTCTGAGTCTTAGTTTTTTTTTTATCTCTGAAATGGGGATTTTAATAGTACTTCCTTCATAGGATTATTATAAATATTAACTAAATGAACATAAAGTGCTTAAAACAGTGCTGTGCTTTATAGTAATTGCTCTTGTCATTATTTCTGGGGGCAGATGTAATGAAAGAGAATCATGTGGTCCAGAGGAAAGGACAGGCCCTCCCTGCAGCCCAGAGTCTCCCTGACAGCTGCCATCCATGCGGAGGCCCAATGCTGTAGGCAGAAGGCTGTGAGGTACCAGGTGAGGGCTGAGGAGCAGTGGTATGGTAGAAGTGGGGGCTCCCAAAAAGCCTCCACGGAGTTTTGCCTTACCTCTGCCTGGCAGTGTCTGGTACCTGCTGTCAGGGCCCACAAGTCCCAGAGAGGGCTGGGCCATTTCCCCACTGAAAGTCGCCAGCTCGGGCTCACTCACGTAGGACCGAAGTTCTACCTGTGGGCAGAGTCTGAGGCTGTCACACTTGCCCAGTGTCATATCACCTTCCCTCCCCTCGCACACAGTGGGGCAGCCCAGGGGCCCTCCCTGCTCACCCTGGAGTCCCCATTCACACACTGCCCCTGCTCCCGGTCTCGCTTCCTCTCGTCCGACTGCCGCTTAAGGCCCCTCACTGAAGTGTGCCGGATGATGGTGGCCTCCTTGGGCAAAGGTGGCACAGCCGGGGGCTGGTCCTCTGGACTGTAGAGCTCAGGGAGTGGGGGCCTGGGAGGTGCCTCATCTTCCTGCTCAGAAAAAGAACAGAGTCAGTGCCTAGTGAGAGGGAGCTGAAGGGAGGATGCCTCCCCGTCAGGCATAGAGCAGGCCCCATGAGGCCTGCAGAGCAAGACTGCTTCAGCCCAGGGATGCCAACATTTCCCCTGGATGAGCTGTGAAGGAGGGGAATGCCTCTGCTCTGATCCTGTTCTTCCCTTCCACTCTCTCATTTTCCGTGCTTCAAAGCATAACCTGTACAAAATCCAGAACTCCGGTTTCCTGCATCCATGGTCTTCTTCCACTTGCTAGAAGTGTACCATGGGAGGAGCAGGCTGGTAACTCCATGCTTCTTTGTATGTTTCACAGCACTCCCCCCCCCCCCCCCCCATACATCTACCCCACTCCTGCTGGCTCTCTGTCCCCACATGGTCTCTGGATCCTTCAACAGGTTGGGATCTAAGCAAGGACAGTCTACATCCTCCAGCCCTTTCTACCAGAAATGTGCGTGGTTACAAAGTATTTCCTCCTTCCTGACTCAGGGACTGAACAAGCAGTCAGCATGGGTGACTCACTGCCTTCCTATCAGCCCACTCCCTAAGCAGTGATGAATGTAACTATTTTCCTTGAAAATGACCCACAAATCCACCCCCCCCCCCAATAAATGTTCTCTGAGAGCTGTGGCTTCTGCCCAGACCATCAGCCTGGCCCCTGACTGCCATGGACACCCACTCCTGGAATCAATGACCTTCAGGGCTGTTTCCTAAATGCCCCCTTTATTAGTTTAATTTTACTTTGTTTTTCAGGATTTGGGCGTGGTCAGGAAAGGGTGCTGAAGCTTGCTCTACAAAGGTTTGTCAACATTCTAGTAAAGCGACACATCTCACTACTGTGTGAAAACAAAGCTGCCTATTCCAGATCCCCTAGGCTCTCTGAGCATCAGTGTGTCCCAACTCTGACAAGGTCTTGGAATCGACAATTTCTAAACAGCTCCCTGGAAAGATAAACACAAAACACTGACGCAAACACAAAACCGCCTTTGATCAAAGGGAATAGAATGTCTAGAGATGGAGGGTGGGAGGAGACACTTTATTATATACTTTTTTGATATATTTTGATTCTGTGCCCTTTGAGAGTATTACCTAAATATAAAAGTAAGCGATATTAAACTCAAGAAAATAAGCCAAATAAAAATGGAAGAACTATAGCTATGCGCAACAATGTGGGTAAGTCTCACAAATATAATGTGAGAATCTTTTTTGTATCTTGAAAAGGTACAGGATACAAAAGAATACAGTATCACCTACAGGAAAAATTGAAGTGTATAGGACATAGGTAGCAAATTTTTAAAAAGAAAAAAAAGGCAAGGAAATTGTCCAAGTCAAGATAGTGATAGTGGTTACTTCTGGCAGAAAAGGACTCAGGCCTGAGGGCTCCAGTCGCTGACAAAGTTCTATTTCTTGGTTTGGATGTTGGTATAAACAGGTGTCCTCTTCATTATTTGTTAAATTATATATTCATGTTTTATGTACATTTTAGGGTATCACTGCTTCATAAATATAAATAAACAAACAATAATAAAATATGGTAAACCTGGTGAATGAAAGGAAATAAGATCACCCCCCCAAGCAGTGACCCTGATACTCAACCAAGTTGAAAAGCCCTGCCTGCAAGCCACAGAGGACCAAGCTGTGAAGAGCCTCTGTGACCATCTATTCCGAGCTCCTTGTTCTGTACCAGGGGAAACTGAAGAAGCCCAGAAGGGGGTGGTCACCGTCCAAGGGCCCAGTGAGAGAACAGGAACTGGAATCCAACACAGCTCCCAGGCTGCTACCTTCCTCCTCTGCTCCTCATCCTGGCTAGCAGGCACCTTGCCTTAAGTCAGGAGCCATCTGCCTCAACCATGTTTGCTGTGCTATTTTCTGTTCTGTGGCTGGTATCCCCATTGCCTCTTAGATATAAAATTGGGAAGGAGATCTCAACATGAAGAAATTCACAATAACTTAGTCCCAGCACCTGTCATTCCGCCCTGGGTCCTGGGCTATAGTTGGAAGCAGGTGGACAGTGAGGACCAGGGTTTGGGAACTTGTGTGTTTTAGCCAGTACTGCACACCAACCTTGTCAGAGGTCCTAGGCACACCCAGTGACCAGGCAAAGCTCCTCTAAGCCTTTGTCGGCAAAACCTGAAGGTCCCCGTTCCAAGGTTCCCTCTACTATGACTTTCTTGTCACTTGGGCCAGATGCCTTGTATTCTCCAGCCAAGGCTGGCCTGGCCCTGGAGACATGAACCATCACATTACCTGACCACATCTTCTAGTTCCTTAAAGTCTGCTCCCAGACTCTGTCAAAAGCTTGGCCTTTCTCTTTGCCAGTCAAGCCAAGGTGTTGGCTCAAGCAACCACGCAGGCCACAAAACTGATCTGAGGAGCTGGGTTGGATGGCAGGTGGCACAAAAAACAGTCAGGAGATGTGGACTGGATCCACTAATACAGAGATCTTAAGCAAAGGTTAACACCTTTGGGCCTCAGTTCTCTTATGTGAAGAATGGAATACAGACCTTCTTGTCAATACTCCATGAGGTTATTGTGAAGATCAACTGTATTCTACAACCCAATGAATACAAATACTCTTGCTGAGAGGAATTCATCGCCAAAGGCTTATGTAACTCCAGGTTTGCAAAGAGTTCTATGTGGGGCTACCTACCTCTGCATGATGCATATCACAAATTCCACCCTACTTAGCACAATCACTTCTTCTTGCCAGACCTCAGTTTGCATGACTGCAAAATGGGAAGGTTGGGCTAGATCCTCTCTAAGGCCCTTTCCAGTTCTGAGAGTCTAAAGCACAATGGCAGGGCCCTACCACTTCTTAACTGTTCATAGCTCAGGACTCTGGCTGGTTCTGTCTCCCCAGGTTTCCCCAAAAGCTTCTCTCCCAGCAGAAGCTGACCTGAGGACAGAGAGGGACAATCATCTCCCAGAGGGAAAACAAGAGCGCTCAGCAACTGGTCATCTATACTTACAACTTTGGGCTTTGTCTTGGTTGGTGACTGAAGAGGGGATGTCACTTTCCTCAGCTGGGGTGGATGAGGTCGGTACGGCACATAGGTTTGCAGCTGGGGGAAGAGTCGAACCTCGAGAGGGGTCCGCACGGGGCTGGTGGGAGGGCTGGGCTGTGGGGGCGGCTTGCTCTCAGAAGTCGAGAGTGAAGGCACAGGTGGGTGAGGAAACAAAGGCACCGTTTTTCTCTCTAAAGGGTGTGGAGGGAAACAGAGGATGGAATGGAACAAAGACCCTCATCCTGGGAGGACAAGGGGAGGGGCTTATGCCACAAAGACCCGACCTCTGCAAGGGCCAGCCCACATACCTGGGTGTTGGCCTCCAACCTCCTTCCCCCAGGAAGATGGCCCACTCACCTGGATTTTTGACTGATTCCACCAGGATTCTAAAGTTCTCTTTATTTGCACTCAGGCCTGCAATGACGTCTTCAATCCTCCAGAGATCCTTCTGTATCTGTGATTTCTCCTGAGAAAGACAAGGTGGTGGTTCATTTCCTTCTTAGCTCCTCACCAGAAGTTTCTCATTAGGATTTATGTTGTCATTTCAGATATAGCTCCTCACCCTGGAGTGGTGGTGGGGGCATCCTCTTTGGAAACCCCACCAGGGCTAGAGCCAAGACTGCCTCAAAGCTTCATAGGGTATGGCACATATGGAGAATGCTCAAGATCTAGGGGAGAAATTCAGATGATCTTTCACTTATTCACCTTGCCTACTTCTCCCAAATTTAAAAGTAGCTTGCCTTGAATATTGAATGCTTCCACTAGTAAGGTATCTAGAGTAATCAAAGTCAGAAACAGAAGAGTGGTTACCAAAGGCTGGGGTGGAGAGGGGGATGAGGATTGTTGTTTAATGGGTAGAGAGTTCCAGTTTTGCAAGATGAAGAAAATTCTGCAGATGGGTTGCACAATGTGAATATACTTAACACTACTCAACTGTATGTTAAAAATGGCTAAGGTAATAAACTTTGTTATATATATTTTATCACAGTTAAAAAAAAAATAAGACTGTTTTAGGCAACCATGGCAAAAGGGAAGAGACAGTGAAGACTAGAAGTTACACTATACCCAGAATATAAAGAGCATCTTTTTGGGGCGCCTGGGTGGCTTAGTCAGTTAAGCGTACGACTTTCGCTTAGGTCATGATCTCGCGGTTCGTGGGCTCGAGTCCCACATCGGGCTCTGTGCTGACTGCCAGCTCAGAGCCTGGAGCCTATTTCAGAGTCTGTATCTCCCTCTCTCTCTGACCCTCCCCTGCTCACGCTGTCTCTCTCTCTCTCCTAGAAATAAATAAATAAAAAATAAAAAAGAGCATCTTTTTAAAAACTATTTTATTTATTTTTTAAGTAGTCTCTACACCCAATGTGAGGCTTGAACCCATGGATCCCAAGATCAATAGTCGCATGCCCTACCAACTGAGCAAACCTGGTGCCCCATCAAGAACATCTTTTAAAAGACAGCACTGAATCCTGGGATTTGGGGTTTATTTAAGAGTACAATGGGCAGTGACTATCTGGTAATAAAAAGAAATGAAGTATTAGTACATGCTATAACATGGATGAACCCTGAAAACATTTATGCCAAGTGAAAGAAGCTAGATACAGAAGGCCATGTATTATTTCATTTACACAAAATATTCAGAACAGGTAAATCTACAGACAAAGTAGATGAGGTGGGGGTGTGGATGGGGAGTGACTCTTCATGGATGGAGGGTTTCTTTTGGAGGATGATGAATATGTTATGAAAATTTATTGTGGTGACGTTGCACAATTCTGAATATTCTAAAAACCACTGAATTGTATACTTTAAAAGGTTGAATTTTATGGTAAGATAGAACCATTAGTTTTAAAAAAGTACAATGGGAAAAGAGCCAGGCTACCGACCATATGCACACTCTGACAAGGTACAATAGAAATCAGATGGGGAGAGATCCTAAAAAGAGGTGAGCAGACTTTATCAGGATTAAAGGACTGTGGGCATTCTAAGGAGTATAGTTGACAAACAATGTTACATTAGTTTCAGGTGTACAACATAGTGATACAACTACTCTGTATGTTACACTATGTTCACCACAAGTATAGCTACCATCTGTCAAGATATAATGATACAGGGGCACCTGGGTGGCTCAATTGGTTAAGCGTCCGACTTCAGCTCCGGTCATGATCTCACAGTTCGTGGGTTTGTTCCCTATGTGGGGCTCTGTGCTGACAGCTAGCTCAGAGCCTGGAGCCTGTCTTCGGATTCTGTATCTCTGTCACTCTCTGACCCTTCCCTACTCATGCTCGCTCGCTCTCTCTCGCAAAAATAAAACATAAAAAAATTCAAATGTAGCCATTGACCAAAACAAGGAAATGAAATATTCCTTTGGTGAACTTGCTTCTTTAAAAAAAAGAAAAAAAGAAGAAAAAGATACAACGATACAATGCTACCACAATATCATCGACTATGTTCCCTATGCTGTGCCTTTTATTCCCATACTTAGTCATTCCACAACTGGAAGCCAAAACCTCCCCCTGCTCCCCTTTACATGTTTTGTGTACCCCCCTCAACTCCCTCCCTTCTGGCAACCATCAATTTGCTCTCTGTATTACAGCCCTGCATCTGTTTTGCTTATTCTTTTGTGAAATTCCACGAGTGAAATCATATGGTATTTATCTCAGTCTGACTTATTTCATTTAGCATAAATGAAATCCATGTTGCTAAAAAGGCATGAGCTCTTTTTTATAGATGTGTAATATTCCATTGTGTGTCTGTACAGCATATTCTTTATCCATTTGTCTACAGATGGACATTTAGGTTGCTTCCATATCCTGGCTATTGTAAATAATGCTACAATAAATATAAGGGTGTGTATATCTTTTCAAATTAGTGTTTGTTTTTTTCAGGTAAAAACCCAATAGAAGAGTTATTGGATCATACAGCATTTCTAATTTTTTAGAAAACTTCCATGCTGTTTTCTATAGTGGCTATACCAATTTACACTCCCACCAACAGAACACAAGGGTTCCTTTTTTTCCACATCCTCACCAACATTTCTTATCTTTTTTATTTTAGCCATTTTGACAAGTATAAACTGATATCTCATTGTGGTTTTGATTTTCATTTCCCTGATGTTTAGTGATGCTGAGCACTTTTTCATGTGTCTGCCGGTCATCTGTATAGCTTCTTTCAAAAAATGTCTATCAGGGTCTTCTGCACCCCTCCTTTTTTTGGTGTTGGGTTGTGTAGGTCCTTTATATATTCTGGATATTAACCTGTGGGCAACTTTTAATAGAGTTTCTTAAACATGAAAGTATTATTTTAATTTTTTTAAATGTTTGTTTATTTTTGAGAGGGAGAGAAAGAGGAGGAGACAGGGGAGGGGCAGAGAGAGAGGGAGAGAGAGAATACCAAGCAGGCTTTGTGCTGTCAGCACAGAGCTCAATGTTGGTCTCAGTCTCACAAACTGAGATCATGACCTGAGCTGAAACCAAAAGTTGGACACTTACCGACTGAGTCACCCAGGCACCCCAGTATTCTTTTAATTTTTAAACTATCATGGGAGAAGTTAGTCTTGATCATTCCCCATGGACTTAAAGACTTCACACCACATCTCCTCTCAAGGTACCAGTCACCCTCAAGTGGAAGAATTCTTGCATGTGTGATACTTAAGAACTTGCCTGATTCTGCAAGTAGACTATATGCTCCTTGGTAAATCCCCACAGGGATTGGGACCCAGCAGGTTCTCAGTACATGTATATTGAGTGAAAAAAGGACCAATCACATAAAATTTATTGACCAAATGCTGTCCAACAGCTGTGACAACAGATGTCTGGAGCCTCTCTCACAAGGGAGCTCACATTCTCATACTCTCTCCACCCTTCCAACACCAATGCACATCCTCAGGGCTGATAAACAAGGAACGGGCTTGATGCTCACCTCCACACCAAAGAACAAGTGCCCTAAAACAGACATGTTATTGAGCCCAGAGTGTGTGTGTAAGCTAACAGGATTATCTCTAGAGTGGAGGTCCCCAAGCAGAATGCTGGGAACAGGTTAAAGGGAGTGTGTCAGATTAAAATCAACCTTCTCCCCTCTCCTCTGGCAGTCTCCCTGGCATACATACCTGTCAGTTTACAATCCTGCCCCCATTTTGCCTTTCTGTCACCCTCGCATGTAAAAGAAGAGCAATGACAAGCAAAAGCCAGAGAATCTCTGAGGTTCTCCAAGGATGATGGAATTTCAGAACTTAAGGACGAAGTCAAGGAAGCTTTTGCAGAGCATGGGGTGGTTTTCATTCCTGTATCCTCACACCATGATGGGCAGGAAGACTCCTATGTACTGCATTCAGCAAAGGCTTGAGTTTATTGTCCAGAAGTAAGAACACATACAGGTAACCTCACTATCATACAGTTTTCACACAGTGTGATAACATATCTGGATGTTCTTTATCCTCTGGCTTCCCTGCACAGGTGGTGGTCATGAGGATCTTTATAAATTCATCCACTCATCTTCACTGAAAAACCTATGAATTTTTTCACAGCCAAACCTGGCTAAAGGGAGGCAGGTTTCCAAGTTCCACTGTTGAGAATTTGCATATGGGGCTACAAGCATATCTCCAGGGTTAATGACTCTGGAGTCTAATATCAGGACTCTAAAAGCTTGTCTTGTCTAGAATTACACCAAAGAAGTGAGCACAAAGCCTGTTCAAAGAAGGGCTTTGTAAGCCTCCGAGGTCACTGTGGCACTCAAGGAAAGCATGAGCAATGCCTCCAGCCTAGGTAGAAATCAAGCTGCAGGGGCTAGGCTTCAATGTAGCCTAGCTTCTCGTAACTTATGTAGTTAAGTTCTCCAGGGAGTCTGTCTTTTGGAGCAGAGAAAGGGATTCTGGGACTGCTGTGTGTTAAATCACCATGAAATAAGGCATGGTAGAAACACGAATGGCCAATGATCACATAAAAAGATGTTTAACCCACTAGTGATTAAATTCATGCAAATTAAAACAAGATGACCTTTTTTCAACCAAAAGACGCAAAAACTAAGAAGACTATTAACATTAAGTGCTGGAGAAGCTGTGGGTTAACAGGGTTCAGCACCCTCATTCACTGTGGGTGGGAGGGCAAATGAGTGCAGCCTTTTAGAGGCAGCCTCCATCAACATGTAAGATGTATACTCATTTCAATTGAACAAGGCCACTCCTAAAAGCCTATCTTAGATAAATGCTTATAAATGATCTTGAAAAGGCAGTTATGAAGATACTTATTGTGGTACCATTAATAAAAGCAAAATACTTATGTGGAAACTAATTTGACAATAAACTATTTGTAAAAAAAAATAAAAAATAAAAAAATAAAATAAAATAAAAGCAAAACACTGCAAACAACTTACATGTCCATCAAAAAAGAATGGCTAAAGTATGGAATACCTAGATTATGAAAACTATGTAGCAGTTAAGAACTAATTTCTTTTATGGGGCGCCTGGGTGGCTTAGTCGGTTAAGCGTCCGACTTTTGCTTAGGTCATGAGCTCGCGGTTCGTGGGTTCGAGCCCCGCGTCGGGCTCTGTGCTGACTGTCAGCTCAGAGCCTGGAGCCTGTTTCAGAGTCTGTGACTCCTTCTCTCTCTGACCCTCTCCTGCTCACGCTGTCTCTCTCTCTCTCTCTCCCCTAGAAATAAATAAAACATTAAAAAATTAAAAAAAAAAAGAATTTCTTTTACTTTTTCTTTTAGCTTTCTGAGTTATGGAAATCTTCTATAGTCTGTGCCATCCAATATAGTAGCCACTAGCCACGTGTGAGTCACTACTGAGCATTTGAAATGATTCTAGTGTGACGGAGGAATATATTTTTAATTTTAGTTAATTTCATTTACTTTATGTTTACACTTAAATAGCTAGCTACTGTATCAGGCAACATAAACTCGGGGGTATTTTTCCTGGAAAGATTTCTATAACATAAAGTTATGACAAAAAAGCAAGTTACCGAACAATGTGTAAGTATGATTCCTAAGTAAACCCAATTCACACTCCCAAATAAATTATATTATGTACAGGCACATGTCTGAAAATGTACAGAAAATGGTATGGAAGACAATACCACCCACTGATGGTAATGGTTACATACAGAGAAGGTGACAGGGCTAGAGCAAAAAGGGAAGGGAGGGAAGAGGAGCTTTTATTTTATGTTTTGCTTTTGCTTCTTATTGTTTGGCCTTTACAGAGAGATGTATTCATGTGTTATTTTTATAATTATAGAAACACAAGGAATGAAAAGCTAAACAAATCACTGCTAAAATTAATGTAGATCTTTGAAAAATATCCAAGAAGATAAGTATAATGGGACAGAACACTTTAAAGAGCTAGTAACTAGAAATAATTACTTGAAGGACTTCGTCAACAGTATTGTCACTAGTATTTTCAAGCCACTATGCCAAGTGCTGGGGAACCAAAAAATAACAGGAAAATGTTAGCTTGGATGCAGGGAAATTATGGGGGAAAAAAACAACAACAGCAAGAGACAGACAACTTCTGGGAGACCTAGGAGGCCAGCCCTGAGCTACAGGCAAGAGTCTTCTCCACATGGCCTTGGACCAGGTTTCTGGGAATCAGCTCCCAATGGTGAGTGGAGGGATAACAGGCTTCTCCTGGGGTAACAAATCGACTCCCCTCTTGTATTCCTTCACTAATATCCAGAGTCAATATATACATGAATTCACTTGAAGGAAGAGCCTTGGCTAGAAATAGTCCATCGATTAGCAAGCTTAGTGCAAAAATTGGTCTAGCATGGCGCCTCAGGCACAAGATGTCTCAACACTTGCTGATTTCAAATAAATTTATGTCAGAGTGCTGATGGGAGATACAGTAGATCTGAAGTTGGGTTCGAATGCATGTTATTTTCCCTTTTTAAAAATTTGAGGGTGGGCAGAAGCCTGATCGGGCACCATGGTGGGGAAACACTGGGCAGCTGGAGGACCCAGCCTGGAAGAATAAAAACCACACAGAGCCTTTTTTCTTTCACCTTTGGGGGCAGAGGCAGCCATCAACAGAGTGGCCTGGTTTTTAAGGGTAGAGAAGGTAGGGCTCTAAGGCTGCCTTTCCTGAGTGGGGCAGTGGCCACAGCGATGGGTATCTCCCAGCCTGGCTCCAGAAATGCAAATGACTGCCTGGAGACCAGAGGCACCTAGATGGACCTGGAGTCACACTACCTCCCTCAGGTGAAGGACTGATAACATCTATCTTCAGAAACCAGAGGGAGGAAGGAAGGAAGGAAGAAGGTGGGGCTTTCTGCTGCTAAGTGAGTAGCTCTAAGATGAAGCCAAGACTCATGGGAACACAGATTATTCTCAAGTGTCTATAAGGTTCTCAAGATCGATATTTCTCTCCCCTCAGGGCCATTTCCCCCAAATGATCGGTAGCAAAACACTTACAAAAACACCCCCAAGACCTTGTGTTTGAGAGGAGAGAAGCAGGGGGTGCTGAGGTGAGCTTTCTCATCACAGCCTGGCTGGGGGGGCAAGGAGGCTGAGTCCCAGTGGAAGAGGAAAAAGCCCCTGGGTAGGGCTCATAGCCCCACAGGTGAAGGTTCTCAGAAGAGATCAGAGCTCAGAAGGGATGAAAAGCCTGTGGGTCACCTGGAAAAAAAAGGCTCTTCTGTGTTGTTCTTGCAGGGTCTGCTTCAGCTGTTCCACGTCACTCTCTAACTTCAGGTATTCATTCCAGGCATTTTCCATCTCCTGTGGGCCAAGGAAATGCTTCTGATTCTTAGTTATCCCCTGTCCCCCAGATGGCCCCATGAGCACCTGTGCTCTTGACCACTGCTGACCCAGCCAGGGGAAGAGGAAAAGGGGGACCCAGAAGGTCTCAGGCAGGCCTGGCAGGAGAGAGACCCAGGCTACCTGCACTGTTCCCTCTCCCACCATTGGAGATGCTTTCATCCCCAGCCCTGGCAGAAAGTGCCTGCACCACATATGAGACGGACAAATAAAAAAGGAGAAATTCTGACATCTTGGAATTAACTGTACACAGATCAGGGGAAGGGCGGTGCAGGCTGCTCTGAGAAATCTGGTCCCTTTGGTGTTTTACTGTAGCCATACAGGAGTCACTGAAGGAAAGCATTCTGAGGTACCAGCAGAGACGGACACGTCACCCCCAGACAAGGTGAGCTACTATCAGGAGGCAGCTTGGAGAACTTCTACTACTCCAAGGCTCCTGTCCTTGGCCAACAACTCAACTACAGCTTGTGAGATAGGAGAAGTAGCCCCCTGCCCAGCCCATCTTAGGGGAGTGGAGTGGAGGAGTGAGGTGGAGGAATGGGGGCAGGGGAGTGTCTGCCATCCTCCACACCCTCTACGCACAGTGGATTCTCTGGAGATCTCCGCCCGGATGTGGACAAGGTCTTCCTGCAGCAACTTCTGCTGGTAAGCAATCTTCTCCAAGTGCTGGGGCTGGTCTCGGTACTGGTCCATCTGTCTGTGCAATACCTCCAGCACGGACTCTAGCTGGTCCTACATTGGGCAAGGGCCAAAGGGCAAGGGGAAAGCAGGACAGTCCCTGAAGGCTTCCCCATACCACGCCAGGAACTAAATAAACCTGCTGGATCTAAGGCTGAAAGACCTACTGCCCAGCTGTGGCTTGAGTCAGGGCCTCTGATTCTAGCTCAAACTCTGCCCATTGGGGGGCCTCTTGGAACAAGCTACCTAATAGCTCTCTGCCTCAGCTTCCTCATCTATGAAGTGGATATAAGGTCATCCATTCTTTAGCGTATAAACTACATAAAGGATCCTCTTTGAGGATACATCAAAGAGTAGATGGAAAGTTCTCTTAAGTTTTCTTAGGGCATGTTATAAACCTTCAGCATCACAAATATAATGCCTTATTAAAGTGCAAAAAAAAAAAACAAAAAAAAAAAAACACCTAAAACCAAAACCAACCAATCACACTAAGGGTCCAAGAAACCAAACATCGGCAGCTGCTGGCCTGTCACTCCTATCTCATCCAGACTTGCTTCCTCCATAGCCCAGACTCCTTGGAAGAAAGGAGCCTTAGAAAGTGACAGCCTCTGTCCTATTATAAGTGTGGGCACTTTCTCCAAGGCATCTCCCTTCCATGGAGTTCAGGAGCCTGGGGTCATCATATACAAGCCAGTGGAGCTCTCCTCTCCCAGGCTAACCTTACAGGGCCTCCAAGGAGAAGTAGGCCAGAGCAAAATTAAGCTGGAGGAGGGATAGGTGGCACTTGGAAAAACCAGGCTGAAGTCTCCCCAAAAGATTTCCTCCAGGTTTAGGCAGAAATCCTCCCTTTAAACCTGAACACACTCTTCTCGATAAATGAATACCTGTGACATGAAAGTCCAATCAGTATCTGTGGAAAGACAGGATGACAAAACCCGCGCCACCCGGCCCAAGATTATGCAAAACTGATGCATACTTTGTTCTCCTTGAGGGCTCGGATCTTGTCTTCCAAGTCCTGGAGGATTCTGTCTTGTTCACAGAAGATGCTCAGTTTGACCTGTGAGCAAGAACAGGTTGGAGAAGGCCTGGGATGATGAGAAAAGGGCACAGCCTTGAAGTGTGATCAGAAGGCCTTTGGCCTTCCAATCCCTCCAAACTCAGCCTGAAGCTACCCGCCCGCCTTGGGTCTGGGGCAGCAGACAGCCGGGGGGTCAGCCTGTCGCCCTGTTCACTCACGTCGATGTCACTCTCTGCAATCTTCACCGGCTTCAGACTTCGATCCTTGACAAGATCCCGGCCCGTCATCTGGGAGGTGAACAATTTAAAGGAGATTAACCACAGGTTCAGGATTAGATCTGGAGAAGGAGAATTAGCCCCAAATGGACAAGTGTGGAAGTCTTAGCAGGTAGGCTCATGGCATGAAAGGGGCAAAAAACTCAGGCGCTACCTCATTTGTATGCCTGTATCATTTTAGGGAAAAACCAAAGCCTTTTTGTGATCCAAGCAGCATTTGTAAATTCCTCAAACTAAGGAAAAAGTAGATGTCCAAGTTACACTACTGTATAGGACTGTGGAAGCTTAAATTTGCCCAAAATGAATCCAGTATGAATCCTGGAAGATTTAAAAGACAGAGTTTAGCTATTGAATCTGTGACACCACCTGCCCCCACCCAGGGCAGTGAGATGAACCAGGAGGAAACAGCTAGTCCCTGGGGCACTGTCAAGCTTTAGTTTAAGGAAGCCTCTGAGCAGCTTACTTCCCCATGAGCAAGGTTAGTCTATCTCACCCTACACCATTTGGGAAGAGAATCTGGTCAAGGGATGAAGGAACCTAGATAATTATTGGCTGGGGTTTTCAATTGATCCCTAAATAACTGAGGCTAGGTCATACTTGTGTAAGTCACATGTTACCCTGTTGTCTCAAGAAAGGAAACCAAAAAGCAGTAGACAAAAATCACCCAAACTTATGAGCCAGGGGGCATTCAGAACATTGTCCATCCCTCCCTTGACCCCACGTGGGCACCGTGCTGCCATATTCCACTAACCCCTACAAAGCTAAACTCAACTCTTTAGCCCATGTTTTCACTTCCCCTAATCCCCTTCATTCAAAAAGCTGTATGGGGTCAGGGTCCTCTTCCACAGATGCACCTCTCCATGACCAAGCCATTGTCAGGGAGAGCCAGGTCAAATATGCCCCATGCAGGGATGAGCATCTTGCTGAACTCCATTTTGCAGATGTGACCAGGGAAACAGGGTGGAACCAATCATAGCTGAGACAGGTGATGTGTATCCTGTGCAGAGGGTTCCAGTGTGGGGGGACAGACAGTTGCTGGAGAGATGGCCCTCACTTTCTCCCTACTCCATCTAAGAGGTCCAGTAAGTTTGTGAATGTGAATAAGAAGCAGAAATATACTGGCAAACATTCCCTGTAAAACTCAAGCCACTCATGTGCCCCACTGTCCTACACTCCTTCTCATCATCGGCAAATGCAAAGGTCAAGGTCAAGGGACAATGCCTTCTCTATGTCTTGGGCTGAGGAATTAGTCTGGCTGCAGACACACCCCCACCCATTCCTATGCTCTCTTTGGTCACAGAGTAGATGGCAGGGACCGCCATCTTATTTATCTTGGTCAAGTTAGCCCTGCACATAAAGCCTGGCACACTGGAAGGCACTGGGAAGATGTTTATTGCATTGCAGGTAGGTCAAAGGTAAACACATGTGGGTCAGTGCTATAGCATCCTGGAAAAAGTAGAACTCCAGCCAAATTCTGCTCTTCAGACTGGCAGATTATGTGTACGTACATGTATACACACAGTCACGGAACACATGGACTACTGCCACAATCCACAAACACACTGCTGGCTCCTGCAAGGACAGAGGGGCAGGAAAGGTGGGAGAATAAGGGGAGGGAGGAGGAGGAGGAGGAGGGGTGGAATGAATCTGGTGAGCCACAAACAGCTGGACCTCGCAGGCAGGAATTGGGCTAAACTCAGGGGAACCCCGCAGGTAGAGGTAAGGAGGTCACTCTGTGTCATGGTCCTTCATTAAAGCACAGGACAATGAGTTTGTCTGCTCTCCAAAGGGCTGACCCTTGGCTTACTTCCTAGGAAGAAATCATTTTCAAATTGAGATATGCTGTGGGGATTTTTCCTCCTAGCAAAACTCTTCCCCTGATTTCACTGAAGCTTTTAACAGATGATATCTTTTTGATACTGAAATGGCAAGGCAGAGAATCTAATTGAGCAATGCCTCATTTATCCAGCACCATCAGAAAAGGAATGATGTATTCTACACCCAAAAAAAAAAAAAAAAAAAAAGAAAAAAGGGCATTTTGAGAAAGCTGAACCTTTTAAACTTTTTGATGGAAAGGTTTCTAAAAGTAAGTCCTACGCTGCCTTCACAGAACTGAATATAAATTCATCCTTTTGGGGAATGAATCAGTCATTATAAAAATCAGTAATACAGAATTTCTTAGAAGTTAAGTGTGTTAGGACTATTTGCCTCCTGATTAAATGCTTCTAAATTTCTGTGCTTTCATTTCCATTTTAGATGGACACATAACATTTTTCTCTCTCAGGATATTAGGTTACTCCCTCTTTTCTAAGAAGTAACTCTCTCTTGTTCCCTTTTAATGGCTGTGGTTAAGGTGCTGTGAGTTAGGAATTGAAATGACTGAGTTGGTTAGGACTGGAAACTCAACAGAGGTGACACTTGCTGCTTTTCCCTAACTAACTCACCTCCAACTGGATCTGGTGCTGCTCAGGGGAGATCCTCTCATACCTGGTATCTCCCACCAGTATGGACCTTATATATCAGATGATATGCTCAGTCTCCCCTCAGAAGATAGTAACCTGATGAGAGGGGATTGTGGGGACTATGACGTATTTTCTCTGTATCCTCAAAGTCCAGTCAGGGCCCACCACATTGAGGATATTTGGGGCATGTTTGCTTAGTGAACCTGTGACTGCATCAAAATCCTGTGAGTTGGCTCCCACTCCTATAGGCTTTAGAGCATGGGCTTCATGAATGTGTTTACACAGCTCAAAGGCCTTTTAAACTTCTGAATTTAACTTTGTTCTAGAGAGTCAAGGCTACTATGAAATACCCCCAAGTAGTAGATTACATCTAATTTTACTTTTAAAACTGTGTTTTGTGATAGCAGTGTTTAAATCCATTTAAAATATCAATTATGTGTCTCGTTTCTGTCACCAGAAAAAGTGAAATTCAGTGGGAACTCATCCATTTGAAAGAGTCTGCGCACCAGAAAGAACTGAAGGCCACTCAGGCATTTTACTTCCCTTCTACCACATCCCAACACACCTGGTCTCAGGGCTCAGGATGACTGGACATAGCACCTGCTTCACAACCTGCAGCCTCCCTTAGAATGCTACCAAAGCTGGCCATATTTCAGGCACTCCTGCATCAGTCAATGGGGAGACCTGGGGGAGGGGGCAGCCTGTTTTGTTCTAGTCCAGCTCTACACTGTTTTCAAATATCAACACCCTGCCCTGAAGAGGAGCCACCCTAATCACAAGTCATGGTGGAATCTCAGGATATGCTAGCTCCTCCAAGGTGACCAGGAACTGCTACTCCTTCCCAAGGAACTCATGCTTGACTCCACAGACCACACTGGCCTCTGTCTAGGTCAGTCCTCACCATGGAGGCAGAGAGAGAATGGGAACACAACACAAGCTGGTGGCAAGCCAGGCAAGCCCCTCCCACCCCCGCTGCAGCACAAAAGATGGATTCACAAAACACCGCATGTGAGAGGATCAGCCTGGTGCACCAGCCAAAATACCGAAGGGAGCTTCAATACGAGAAAAAAATAAACCGAAATGACTTGCAGGAAGCCTGGGGGCGGTCAGGAGAGCCCCTGGTTAAGCAAGTGATGAAGTCGGCACTGAGCCAAAAGCAATGGAATGGCCCCGCTTGGAGACACAGATCAGATCATCTTACGCTTCTCCTGGGCCGACAGCCCCGTGCTGACTTCTTCAGCACTTTGTAAAGCACGTTGATCAAAGGTTCATTATTTTTTATCTGTTTCAAACAAAAAGGCAAATATAACAAAACGTAACAGGTGAGACATCAAAGGACACTTGAAAGAGACAGAATTTGGGGAACTGGTAAGGGGAAACTTTAAGGAGGACGTGCATTGTGCAGTTCAAATGACCGAGTCTCAGTCTGGCTGTGCTGCTTCCCAGCTGCTGAGCCTTTCCAGACTTTATCCCTCAGCTATAAAATGGGAGACAATAAGCTCTGCCTGAAGGGTCTTAGTGCAGGATAGTCTCATTGAGAGAGCCAATGTCAGTGCCCATTTCCTTCCTGTTTCTCCTGCAGAAGGCAAAATCCTTCTTGTCTTCAGCATGCTTCAGAATCACCTGGAAGGGGGCTTGTTAATACAGTGGACCCGTAAGTCATCTAAGTGGCTTAGTTGGTTAAGCATCCGACTTCGGCTCAGGTCATGATCTCATGGTTCATGGGTTCAAGCCCTGCATCAGGCTCTGTGCTGACAGCTCAGAGCCTGGAGCCTGTTTTGGATTCTGTGTACTCTCTCTCTGCCCCTTCCTGGATCATTCTCTCTCTCTCTCAAAAATAAACATTTAAAAAAAATTTTTTTAAATACAGAAGACCCTTGAAATACATGGGATTAAACCATGAGGGCCCATTTATACATGCATTTTTTCCAATAAAAACAGTATAGTCCTATAAATTTTTTTTCTATGATTCTCTTAACATTTTCTTTTCTCTTACTTGATTATAAGAATACAGTATGTAATACATATAACATACAAAATATGTGTTAATCAATTTTTTATATTATCAGTAAAGCAGACTATTAATAGTTAAGTTTTGCGGAGTCAAGATATACCAGGATTTGCAATTGCACACAGATTGGGCACCCCTAACTCCCACACTGCTCAAGAGACAACTGTATACAGATTTGCTGGGCCCTGCACTCAGAGGTTCTCACTGAGCAGGTCTGGGGTGAGACCCAAGATTTTGCATTTCTAACACATTCCCAGGCGTTGCTAATGCTGTTGGTCTGGGATCACACATTGAGAACCACTGCTTTGAAATAATGTTTCTCAACCCCGGCCATACATTAGAAACACCTAGAGAGTTTATTTGTTTTTAAAGAATGATACCTGAGTATTACTGATTAGATCAGAATCTCTAAGGGGTAGGATCAAAGCATTGATATTGATTTAAAACTCCCCTGGTTATTCTAGTTCATGGCCAGGGTTAATAATCTCTGCTCCAGAACAACAGACCTCAAACTTCTTTGTGTACAAGAATCATGCAAGAGCTTGGTTTTAAAAATGCAGAATTCTCGGGGCGCCTGGGTGGCTTAGTCGGTTAAGCGTCCGACTTTCGCTTAGGTCATGATCTTGCGGTTCGTGGGTTCGAGCCCCGTGTCGGGCTCTGTGCTGACTACCAGCTCAGAGCCTGGAGCCTGTTTCAGTCTGTGACTCCCTCTCTCTCTCTGATCCTCCCCTGCTCACACTGTCTCTCTCTCTCTCCTAGAAATAAATAAAACATTAAAAAAAAAAATGCAGAATTCTGGGCACCATTTCCAGAGGTTTTAACTCAACAGAACCCCCAAGATCTATACTTAAAAAAAAATCCAGCTCCCAGGTGATCCTGAAGTAGGTGGTATCCCAGACCACAACTTAAGAAACTTTGCTCTAGAACTTTTGCTCTAGAAGCTAACTTTGGAAACAGACCCTGAACAGAGAAGCCCTAATCTCAGGCTCATTAAGGAAGAGTCTGGAGGCCAACCACCCGGAGCCACTGATGACACATCCCTCAATCGGGGACAACAGTCTCTGTGGGGTTGACTGCAACCCACTCTACCTACAAAGGCACCACCTGACCAGCAGCAGATACCCTCCCTTCCACCCCCTCTTCCCAGATGTGCCTCACAGCTGCATAAAAGCAATCTAATCTGTCAACAACAGTGACCACCACACCTGCTTCTTCAGACCTAGCTGAAGTATAGGGTTCTGAAGGACAGAATTATGATGCTAGAAATAAAATTCAGTGAATACAACTTTAGAGTAGGCGAAGTACCTAGTACCCAGAAGAAAGAAGGCAGGTGTAAAATTAGACACTGGGTTTAAATTCCACACATATTACTGAGGAAGTGATTTCTCTTGATATTTGGGTTCTTGGTTAGTAAGGTGGGTGGGGATAATAATTCCTATTGCTCAAGGCTGCTTAGAGGATTAGGCTAGATAATGAATAACATGTGCCCAAACACTGCCAGGCAGGAACAGATGCTTAATCAAGGTGGAGTCCTTTCCACCCTGGCACTACCAAGTAAAATGCCAGAGGAGTAAACATCTTCCAAAAAGAGCATTAATATAGACCGTCTTCTAAAAGACTAGAGTACGCCTTTGTTTGATCACTTGGTACCACAGCAGAAATGCTCACTTTATGGACAAAAAGCTCCACAACATGTGGGGAAGCAAATACTGATTTTGAAAACTGAGCATCAGCCGACTGGTGATGGCAGGAGCTTTGGATCCTTAAGTCTCTGGCCTTTGGAACAGGGCCATGGGGGAGCATAGGCCAACTATGTGGGGATAGGGAGGCTCTTTTTCCTCAGAGAGCCTCACCTCCTTCCTCTCCCTGCAAGGACCTCTCACAAGCAGCTGGTCACAGTGGGGTTGTGCTCATTGCTATCCCTACACCCAGGCTGGGCTACAGGGCCCATTCAACTCTGTCCACAGAGGCCCTCGTCTCAGAGACCCCAGCTGAGCTCAGCATCACCTCATTTTGTCTAGTATGTCTCAGTCTCAAGAGCCAATGGGCCTTAGCATTTTCCTGATACAACCATGCATCCCTCTTGCCTCGCAGTGTTCATCTAGCTTCACTTGTACCCTAGAGATGGAGGGGTAGTGTTTCACCACAACCTGAGCAGGCCCGTTTAGAAACCCCTCTCCTTATAGCTCCTATCCATTTCTCTCTCTTTTTTTAAACTGAAGTATAGTTAATTTGTCTTAATTTTCCCTTACAGCCACAGAAGACACATGGTAACTTTTCAGAGCTTTGTAGACTGTCCCTATGTCTCCTGAATTACCCAGAACTCTTTCCACGACTCTGTACTTCAGCTGTGCTAACTGCTGCTGTTTCTTGGTTCTTCCCAGCAAGCTTTCCCCTTAGGGAACCCCTCCCTCACTCCACAGGGAGTCTAGGTTTGCAACTGGCCACCCACAGGGATACTAAGCTGGAAAAAAGTGAACTTGGGTTTGCAGGTGGTCACCTGCCCTGGTCATATGGAAGCATCCCACATACCAGGGAAAGCAGAACAGTGATGATGGGGCCTGAGCCCCTTGGCTAAAAGAACCAGTATATTCCTTTTTTGGCTTATTTGCAGGTTGATTTGGGTTTCAAACACCTGCAAACAAAAGCATCCTGCCTAATACTCTCCTCAGCCATGGTTCTATAGGCTCTCAACACCTCTGCCTTGCTTCCAGCCCTTTCCTCATCTGAATCCCGAAATGAGGTGCCCACCTTGGAACCCTATACCCCAGCTGAGTTTGAGCAGAGCAGAGCAGGCCCACTGCTTCTCTGATATGAGCACCCTCTACCTTGGAGAGAGGCCAAGGTAGTACGAACCTTTCTGGGAGCTCTGGCAGATAGACAACTCACACACAGCACAAACCCCAGCACCTCCCTGCTGCTAGTGCAGCTCATTTGGGGGAAAAGTTCTCTGAGAAGAGCTCAGCAACTGGAATAACTATAAGACTGGAGAACTCTGGTATCAACACAGCTGTTTTCTATGACATGACAACTTCCAGAAGGACTAATGTTCTAGGCATAGATAGCCCCTAGCTAGTGAAACACCCCAAGGATGCATCTTGCCTCTATTGCATCAAATGAATTTCCTGGGATAATGACCCTAGTTCAGCTTCATCAGAAACTGAATGCCTTTGGGCCCACAGTGGTAGAAGCAGCATTTTAAGAGAGGCTAGGAGGGGCGCCTGGGTGGCTTAGTCGGTTGGGTGTCCGACTTTCGCTTAGGTCATGATCTCGCGGTTCATGGGTTCGAGCCCCGTGTCGGGCTCTGTGCTGACTGCTGGCTCAGAGCCTGGAGCCTGTTTCAGTCTGTGACCCCCTCTCTCTCTGACCCTCCCCTGCTCATGCTGTCTCTCTCTCTCTCTCTCTCCTAGAAATAAATAAAACATTTAAAAAAAAAATAAGAGAGGCTAGGAGGCAAAGTGATTAAGAGCACAAGTTTCAGATTCAGAGCTATACCTAAATACTAACTCCTCAGTAACTACTTATGTGGCCGTGGGAAAGTCATTTTCTTCTCTGAGCCTCAGTCAGTGAAAAAAAGATAAGAACTACCTTCCTTCCAGAGCTACCGTAGGAATTACATAAGTTAACAAAAGCAAAACACAGTGACTGTCATACATCGTACCCTCTATTGTTATTAAGCTTCTGTTTGGAGTCAGGACATCCAAGAACTCCTGGCTCTGCTCTGATACTCTGTACCTCAGCTTCTCTCTTTAAATTCCTTTTAACTCCAATTCTATGATCTTGAAATAAAACAGACCTGAACTCAATCTTCCTTCCAGGACCAAATGTGAGTTTCTGCTATCCTGTACAAACAGGAATCAGGACACACATATTTCCTATTACTTCGGCTCAGGCACTTTAAGCTCTCTCTTGCACTGTGCACCAAGCACTCTGAGGAAGGCATCAGGGTCAACCCATGCAGGGTACATCATAAATACTCCATAGATATTTCTGGCTGACTAGTTGGCCCCCAGGAAGGGGTAGAAGAACCAAGCAGATGGCATGGTGACTGGCTCTCTGGAAGACCGGGGAATGGAGACTAGGTGGTACACAGGGCAGGTGAAGGTGGGTGGATCTCTCTCCAGGTCAGGTGGGGGTGGTAGGCATGGTAGAAGGACCGTGCCCAGGATCCGAGCACAGCAGGATAGGCTGGGCTGCACATTTAGCATCCTGAAACACTGCAACCATACTTAAAATACTCATGCTCTGTGTGATCTGACTGACACATATGCTAGAAAATATCCTGATTTTGAGAGAACCCTCTTGGTTTTGCTCATGTCAGAAAGCGAAGTCTGACTCTTGTTTACTGCACCTTCCTTCCTAATGCATCAGTAACATGGACAGTCTGCCTCCTCCAGCCCCAGCCATACCACCCCACCCTGGCTCTCTTTGACTCCCACTGTTCCCTTCCTTTTAATTTTAACCAACTCAAACCTTCTGGCTCTTCAAGTTGCCACATACATGCCACCTCCTCCGGAAGCCTGCCCAGAATCGCAGCCCACAGTGATCTTGACGATCTCAACTCTGAGCACTAGGCCAGACAGATCTTTGTAAGTTCACTGTAAACAAGTCTGTGTTATTTTGGGAGATTTTCCTTTTCTAACCCAGATCATTTGGGAGTTTCCCAGGGCCAGAGAGTCTCAATTTTTCTCTTGCATCTCCCTTAGGCTTCTCCAGAGCTGTGTAACCACAGATACAAAAGTTAACTAGTTGATTCCTGACCAAAGGCTCTGATCTTGTCTCAGTGTAGGGAGGTCCCCCATCTGCTGCCATGGGGCATAACGTTCCTTGCTTCTCCAAGGCTGATGACAATCCCCATGTTAAAAATATCTCAAGCCAGGTCCACAGAGGTGCTGGGGGGTGGAGGGAGGGAAGGCCTGTGGCGGTCGCCTGGGTGTCCTCCACCAGGCCCTCCCACTCTCTCACACCCACAGTTAATTAAAGGTCACATTCCTTCAGTCTATTTCATGGTTTAGGCATAAGAAGTGCTTTTCACAGTGGGAGCTTTCAGAGAGCTGTGGGAACGACACAATAGCAGCTCTCTTTCACACAGAATGCCTCTCACACTTGTATACCAGTTTTCTCGGCTCTCTGTGCTATGAAGGCTGATTTAGAGACCGAACCTTCATCACCTACAGGGAGGGACCCAGTGTTCAACTCCTGAATGTGGATGGGAGACTATCCATATGGAGACCATGGTGGGCCTCAGAGCTTCACAACTCCGGGATGAACCTACTCCTTCAGCAACAAAACCAAAAAAACAAATCCACCAAACTACTCGCAGCTGATAACACACATCAGTGGCACCCAATGAACCAAACTCAACTCCACCCACACTGGAGGCTCTAAGGAAGCAACCAGTTATTATCTAAAAGGACTTTTGGGTCCCTACCAAGGATAGGAAGAGATCAAGATCTTATGCCCTCATCCCATAAGTCAGAAATCTTTCTGCAGAAGTATCAAGGAACTGCACCCAGGGTTTGATGCAATAAGAAATAAAACTCGGGGCGCCTGGGTGGCTTAGTGGGTTAAGTGTCCGACTTTTGCTCAGGTCATGATCTCGCGGTTCGTGGGTTCGAGCCCTGCATCGGGCTCTGTGCTGACTGCCAGCTCAGAGCCTGGAGCCTGTTTCAGATTCTGTGTCTCCCTCTCTCTCTGACCCTCCCCTGCTCACGTTCTCTCTCTCTCTCTCTCTCCTAGAAATAAATAAAAATATTAAAAAAAAAAAAAAAAAGAAATACAACTCTTCTCATTCAGATGAGAGACGTCTTCATTTGGGACCCAGATTTGATAAGACCCGCACAGCCTTTGCCTTTGGGCTTGGCTCCAATGAGGCTGACATGTTCAGAAAGGCGTGTGTCCAAGGGAGGCAAGACCCCCGGCGTCGTCACTCACCTTTAGGTCCAGGTACTCCAGGTCTTTCTTCAGCTGGAGGTAGGTATCATCAGCCTTCAAAAGAAGTACATGGAGAAAAAGCCAGTTATGAATACCGAGGGTTTCTAAACCTTGGGGCTTCATGTGTGAACCATTTACACTGAACAGCCTCGGGGTCAAGAACTACAGCAGGCCAACACATCTGGGGCCACAAAGGAAGCGCAAATGTCTCAGTGTAGCTGAAAGCCCTCTTTCAGCACTGTGGAACTTGCAGGTCACTGTGGGGAAAGCCAGCTAGTCTACCAGTTGTCTGGGGGACAGTTCAGTGGGGAAGAGGAAGATAGCACACATACCACCACAGCACATATACACTAAGACAGTAGTGCAGCTGAGGCCAGTGGTGAGCTCGAGACAAAACTATAGTCTAGGTAGAAGACAGCATGCAACACCTGAATTAGGGTCCCATGAATCACCAATGCTCCAATCCTTGTCATCAAAAATTACCCTCTTATTAGTGCAGCCTAATGCCTGGAAAGAGTAGGGAGAGGATGTGGGGATGCAGGTAGGTCCTGACATGACGTTGGGTTCCAAGATGATAAGTACCAGCAGCTGCTGGAAGTTTCAGCCCCCCTTTGCTCAGCATGGGGTCATGTCAGGAGCTAGTTGAGGAAGTTCCAGGGTCAGACCTGTCTGCATTGTCTCTGACAATCTGTTGGGTTCTTTAGTGGAATTACCAGGAACAGTGAGAATAAGACTGATTTTCTAGAACTTGTGTTTCCCATGTAACAGATCACAGAAGCTAACTGTTAGGCAGAGGGCTGTAAAAGCTTAAAAAAAAGTCCTTTCTCAGCAGGGTAAGAGGCCTCCCTGCAAACCAAGGCAAGCCAAGGCAGGGGGAGAGGGCCCTGGTTACATCTCTGATGTAATACAAGTAAGCAATGTGAGATGTTCAGGTTGTGCTTTTAAGCATGAGAAGACCTGAAGGGCCATTGTCATAAGTGACTTCCAAGATGCTATTTCTGTCCCTAAACTGTCCCCTTACCCATCCCTACTTCCCCATTCAGCCCAGTCCCTATGCACTTTCGACAGCAATATGGAGGGCTGAATATTATTTAAAATGACCCACATTCAGAACTTAGGGGTTTTGCATGTGTTCCCTTACATTCGTTTTTCCAAGTACATGTCCTGAGTCCCTCAGGTCTCACTAAAACAGGAGAGTTAAGGAAGCTAACAATCCTGTCACTTCCCTCATCTGTCCTCTGCCCATTATTCTGCAGCCCAGAGGAACCAGACTCATGTGAACGTCTTCTTTAAGTTGCTCAGGATGCCTGGGAGAGTAATTCTCTGGTCCCTCCTTTGGAAGCTTGCCTGCAAACCTCCATGTTCTCTGAAGTTTATAACACTATGCCAGAAAGGACCTGAATTTTGGCTCCAGCCTGTAGGCCTCTGGCTGAGGGACCCCAGGCAGGTCATTTTCCCTTCTAGATCCAGTGCCTGGTGTGTGGTAGTAACTCCTGTCCTGCCTAACGTCTCCCAGCTTATGGCGAGGTTCACTAGGATAAGAGATGTGAAGATGCTTTGTCAATTGGCAGGACACTGTCTGGGTGAGACACTTGCCTTTTTCCCTCCAGGCGACACCAATGAAGCACACCTTTCAGCATCCCCAGGAGTGCCCAAGGTGGCAACAAGAATGACAGCCAGCACAGCTCTTTGGACAGGACCAGCACACCAGCCTGGCATTAACTACTCAGAGCCAGAGAAGCCACAGAGGTTCAGGTCCCTCATACCACATGCAGTCTCCTCCCCAGCACCAGAGGTGCGGGTCCCACCACCACTGCACAGTGTCTGCCAGTAGCATCCAGAAGCAAACAGGCAGGGAACAAGGGAAAGAGCCAGACAGCAAATACAGACTAGAGTGTGGGCACGAGAAAACACGAGCCAGCATGTCACTCCCTTGCCCCCAGGGTGGCCCCGGCCCTGCGAGAGCCCACCAGTGCTGACCTGGCAGGTGGGAAAGGTCAGCTGGTGCTGCAGTAACTGGCCGACGGCGAGATTTCGCACACTGGCCAGCCTGGCCTGGTGCCGCCGTAACCGGGTGAGAAGCAGTGAGAGCTCCTCCAGCTGCTGGTGTGTAGACACATCACAAGGAAATTAGCCACCGCAGGAGCACGACGCTATAATTACTCTTCACCCCGGTGCCGGGACAGCAATGATGTGACACCATTAAGTAATTATTGCATTAATTCTGTCATCAGGACAAATAAAGGCACTGGCAGAAAAGAGGCTGCAGGAAGCACTTTTTTTTTATTTTGTTTTTTTCTTTTCAGGAAACAGCAACCAACAGCGCAACCTCACCCAGACTCAAGCTTTGAAGACAAAGTTAACTAAGCAAAGACCAGGATGAGAGGAAAGGAGCAAATGGCATAAAGTCAGGTGGCTGGAAAATGCTACAGGCAAAAAAAAAATGCTATCTGAAAGAGAAGAAAAGCCTACAACCTCCTCCATTTCCCCCACGCTCTTCCTCTGATCTGGGCAGGACCCATGCCAACTGGATAACATGCGGCCAGTCATTCAACTTCTCTGAGCCTCAGTTTCCTCATCTTTAATATTTATTTTTGAGAGAGAGGACAGAGTGCACACACAGGGGAGGGGCAGAGAAAAGGGGACAGAGGATCTGAAGCAGGCTCTGCGCTGAGAGCAGAGAGCCCGATGTGGAGCTTGAACCCAAGAACTATGAGGTCATGGCCCGAGCCAAAGTTGGATAATTAACCGACTGAGCCACCCACAGGTGCCCCTCAGTTTCCTCATTTCTAAAGTGGGGGTTGACAGGTGCCCCCTGCACGACTGCAGACTGCATTTGACTGGCATGGGGTAGGAGTGGGGAGAGCAAACCTGACAAGATGGCACTTTGCAGACTGTATCACGTTCATGAGGAGGGGGATGGGAAGAACGGCTTACCGATTTTCCATGTAAACTGGGAGCGCTGACAGTATGGGTCATGTAGCCCATGGAGGGCATGGAGCGTCGGTCCACATGAGAAGAGTTCTATGGTGGAGAGACAGGCAGTCACCCTGTGGTCCAGAACCTCTGCCCCTCTCCACCAGAAGAGGCTGCCACACAGCATTACCCCTCTACATCTGTAAAATGGGGCTCCATATCTTTCTCACCGAGATATAACAGTGTAAACTGGGAAAGCCCCTTGGAGAGATAAAGCTGAAGTTGGGTCATTATACATTATTGAACCAACTGAACACAGGTATCTTTCTTGCCTTCCAAGCTGCAAAGAAGCAGACTTCTAGTTTATGATCCTTCATCTCTTATTCTCATCTGTGAAATGGGTAGGATAACAGCATCTACATCATAGGTTTCTTGTAAGCATTAAAGTAAAGCCTTTAGTACTGCACCTGGCCCTAAAAGTACTACATGGGTGTCACCTATCATTAATCGAAATTGCTCAAGTTTGTGTTCAAACCATGTCCTGGTGCCCTAATGCTGAACCCCAGCTGCAGGGCAGCCTTCCAGAGCCTCACCTTGGTGGTGTGGCCCCGTGCCTTCCTGGGAGAACCCCCCAGGGAGATGTCCACACTCCTCCGCTGGTCTGGCGGCTTCACGGTGACCCTCTCTGCTGGCGTGTGTGGACGCCGGGGCGGGAAGACCCTCGGGGGGCCCGGAGGAGGGATGTCCGAAGGGGACGGAGGCACAGAGATGGAGCGGGGCACCTCCAGCATGCTCCTGCTCCGGCCCTGGTCGGTGAACTCTGGCGAGCCAGAGCAGATAGGGGCCGTAGGGCTGCCGTGCCGGAACTGCTGGCGCTGCTGCCACTCATAGAGCTGCCACACGGTGCCGTCCCGGTGTGCCCTGCGCTCCTCGCTTGACATCTTCAGGTGGCTGGCTCGATCCTGCGCGTACTTGTAGTCACTCGGCAGGTTGCGGGGAGGGGGTGAGGAGCCCCCTGAGGGATGTCGGGTGCTCTTAGGAAGGGTCTGGTAGTTTTCCGGGAAGGACAGGGACTGGCTAGGACCCTGGCGAGGAAGGGTCTGGTCTGGGGGCAGGCTGAGGAGAAAGGAAAAAGGAAAAAAAATGGGTACGATGACCATCATGTGATCTGCCAGGTATTTGGAAACACAGTTAAGTAAATCCACAATGCCAGGCACATAAGGGAGCCCAGTAAGAACCCCAAAGAACAATCAAAGTGAACACCCAGGACCTCAGTCACTCCCCTCCCTTTGCAGAGGATGCCAAAACCATTGTTCTTCAACAGCCTTGGAGTATCAAACCCTCTACCAAGCCATCTGGCTGTCCCACACTCATCACTTCAAGTGCAAGATGATGGAGCCTGCCTCCTCCTCTCCCACTTGCTGTTCATCAGCTCTTCCAAACAGGTGTCCCTATTTCTAGGAAATGCCTCCTAATTCTCTGGGTCATCAAGACTTACCCACTGCTGGTACCATCACACCAAGTTCTGCAGGTTATTAAAGGAAGTGGCTGGTATCAGTTCTTCTCTTTTCCTACTACTCTAGTCCAGATACTGATTAATCATCTCCCCCTAGACAACTCAGACCTTCGTAACCAGTGTCCACACTGTACACAGTCAACTGCTTGGGTCCAATCACTCTCTCCCTCCAAAAACATCAACGGCTCCCTACTGCTTACAAAATAAAATCTAAACACTTTAGTACTCACTGCTCTCTGACACCTGATCCCAACCCATCTTGCAGTCCTGCCGTTTTCTCACTGCTTCTCCAACTAGGGCCAGGACTGTGCTGGGGAAAGTCAGGCACCTAGAGCCCAATAGCTAAAGAGGTACTTCCTCTCAGATATATCCTTGCACTTGCAGGAACCTGGGAATAAGAGCCACACTCTAATCCCATCTGGCCTCCTACACACCTGTGCAGTTTATCAAAGTGGAAAAAGCAGAGATAGCTTGGCCTGGGTTTGGATGCTGGCTCTACCATCCACTGGCTAGGTGTCCCTAGGCAGCTTACCAGATTGCTCTGAGCTTCAGCTTCCTCACCTGTAACATGAGGACAGAATTATCTCCCTAAAAGGTTGTTCTGAAGAGTAAATGAGACAAGTAAGAAAATGCAGGCACCAACCCTGATGCACAGAGGCTACTTCTCCATGGGTCCTCCCTTCCCACTTTTCCTTATTCTCATAATATTGTTCTTTCCTCCACCTACCTGCATGGGTTCTCCTTGCCCTATTCATCCAAATCTCACTCATTTTCCACAACACTGTCCCATGCCCCTTACATGGAGGTCTTCAGCAATACTGCAGCCCTCAGGGCTACTGCTCTGCTCTGCCCTAGTGACTATGTGGTAGGAAACTTGTCCAAGGTTTTTTTATTGATGTAACCTTTTCATCCTCTTAAGGCATTTCTTCCCCAGACAAGCTGTGAATCTTCAGAAGGCAGAACTAGATCTCACATTTAGTGGTACTGTCCAGGGTCTGAGAAAGTCCTGATGCATAACCACCCAGACATTGTTCTAAACCAGTGCTACTTAAAGTATGGTCACTGATGGGCAGGCAGCATCAGGACCACCTGCGAACTTGTTAGAAACGCAGGTTATTGGGCCCCACTCAGACCTACCAAATCAAAAACCCTAGGGTAGAGCTCAGCCTCCTGTGTTCTAACAAGCCCTCGGGGTGGCCAAAGTTTGAGAAGTACTGTTCTAGTTGTTCTTAGCTTCATCTTAAATTCACCTTGTTTAAGCACTTCCTCGTTTATGTCTTCACTCTCCCTACTACAAAATGAGGATACTAAGAACATAATAGATTACTGCAGGGATTAGAAGTAGCTGTCATTCAAAAATGGTAGCTTTCTTCTCTTTTCATCGTTACCTTTGCAATTACAGAAGGTAATTTTAAGATCTCTTCAGCCCAGACCTGTCTAGTGTATCCATCTACCGTGTCTATTTGCCCACTAGGTGGCAGGCAGGTTTGTTACTGAATTCCCAAAATCAGAGGAGAATGTGTCTCTGAGCGGAGGGCAGTGGCTGAACCCTCAAACAGTGTTGGTGGCAGTGGTGGCAGAAACCAGGCTAGGGGCTTCCCCTGGGGAGTTCATGACTCCACCAACCATTGTTCACTCTGGCTGAAGCAAAATTCAGACTATGCAAAGTATGTCCTTGCTGTGCACCCACCTGCAAAAGCCTTTGGTCTGGTTCTGCAGCCTGCTCTCAGTGCCTATGTCACCCAGACAGGGTCCCCCCACAGGGCAGTGCCCCAAAGCCCTCAGCTGTTCCTCTAGCCTGTGGACTCTGCTTATGCTCTGTCTGCCATCTCCCACCCCACTCCCCAGGGCTGGCCATTTGGGGGCAACCTCAAAGACCTCAGTGCAATGGTGAGCTCCAGAGGCCAAATCAAGGTAACTAGCCAATGGTGGAGTGAGGGGTGCAGGAGATAGGTTTGTAAGAAAAGGCAAAGATCCCCCCTGAAATAGGCAGGAGCACCCAGAGCAGCTTTGCCTCTGACAGCAGATCCATTTGCTGGCCCCCAATCCCAGCCTTACCCAAAAAGAAAGCTCAAGGTCTCCTGCCCTCATACCCTGCTCTGTGCCATGGGGCCTCCCTGTTCCAAAAGGCACTGAACAGGATATTCTGATACAGCCACTACAAGGTGGTCATATCGACATGTAAAATCAATTTTTATAACCAATTACTTACACAACAGATATTTCTCACCCTGACTTCCACATCAGTTGCGCAGGACTTTGACTTTCAACTGTTCTCATTGTAAGATCTGAGTCCCTGATTCCAACCTTACCTCTGCCTTTTTATTTCATGAGTTTGTAAGTTATTTTAAATACCTAGAAAATAATGCAAGGCTAGAATTTCAAAACAATCTCTTAGAACATAGAATTCTAAGGGTACATCAGCCTATCTTCAAAAGACATCATGCTAAAGGAGTTTAATGATGTGAAACACAATACATATCTCCAAGTACTAAAAGAACAGTTAGAAATAATTTCTTGTGTGGTCTAGAGCCATGAATATGAGATCATATTACAGATCAAATAACCCTCCTTCCAATGTCTAATGTACTCAATCTAACGAGATTAGCACAGTCTGAATCACACAAAGCACAGACATCCCTCTTCTGTCTTTTCAAATGGAGGAGGCCCTTTTATTAAGCAACTAGATCTACTTATCACTTGACTGTAAGAGATTACAAATATACCTTTAAGGAAAACAATGCTGGGAATGCAAGATGCAGTCCTTTCCACATACAAGTGAATGATCAGAGACTGTACACTTCACTTACTCAGAGACCAACAGCTTTCTTCTCAAAAGGGTGTCTTCAATTCCTCACTTTGACCATTCAGCCTATTGAGATCTGCTTCCATCACTAGACTGAAGTTCCTCTCACTGCGTGCTCAATGACCTCCAAGGCCAATGAACTATTTTCATCTACAGACTTGATGTCACCTTGCCCCATAGATAAGAAAGGCTCAAACTCTCAGCTCATATCTAAGGAAAGCCTGACACTTTCCCCAACCCTGTCATCTCCTTGCAACTCACTTATTCTTTAGCTCTCCTGTGTGCCCCCGGCCCCAAGTATAGGCCATTGTGTGTAGCAGAATGACAGGTTTGTGGGCTGCCAGAAGCAGTTATGTAGAGACAAGTCAACTGAGAACTTATAACTGTGTATCAGTCACACAGCTTTTGAAAGTCCTTTCTGTGCCCCTGCCACAAAGGGTTTCTCACTGGCTTCGTCACATTTCTGGCTTCTTCCTGTCTTCCTCTCATGGTATTCTGCCTCCTGACCTAACTTGAAGATCCTACCTCTACTGAGAAGGGCAGGTCAAGTCTGTCCATGTAAGCTCATCCAGCACCTCAGTGAAGGGGCTCAGCCTGGGTGGCTCAATCACTTAAGCATCTGACTTTGGCTCAGGTCATGATCTCAAGGTTCATGAGTTTGAGCCCCACTTCGGGTGATCCCTGCTTCTCTCTCTCTCTCTGCCCCTCCCTCACTTGCACCCAATCAATTGATCAATCTCTCCCCCCCAATCCTCCCTCAAAAAAAAAAGGGGGAAGCTTAATGGAATCAAAAGCCCCAGTGCTGAGCAGAGACTTTGAGGTTCCAGACACTCTTTCAGTGGCTCCCAGTCTCCTAGGAAGGCACCACCCCAAGGAGAGGTCCTCATTTAAAATGAAACTCCCTTCATCACTCTCCAGTTTGCCTCCCCCCATCTCCTCATCTCCTCCTCATTTCCTTCATGGAGACTGCTTCTGTCCACCCCTTAGGCTGGAAGTCCTCCTCATTCTACCTTTGGCCCTCTACTATGGCTCACTCTGAGCTAGGGTTCTCAAGCCTGGCTGTACATTAGAATCACATAGGGGAATGGGTGAGGAAGGGAATGTTATTAAAATTTTTGACATCCAGGCTGAACCGCATCTACCTATTAGCCAAGCGGGAACGTCAGCTCCACCTGTGGCCCTCCTCACCTTCTAGGCCTTGATGAAGCAGTTTCCCAAGTCTTCAACCTCAACATCTGTGTATCCTCCTCCCCCTCCTCACAATCCTCAGCATCTTCACTGCTTCGGTTTAGGTCTTCCCCATCTCCTACCCAAGCTATGACCCCCTTACACTTTATCACTTCCTCTTTCCAGGTTCTTCTGCCTCTAAACCAGCTGCCATATTGTCACCAGAGCAAGGAGTTAAATCGAAACAGTAGTTTTCAGTGCTGATGTGGGGGTGGACAGACAAGGACACATTGGGTGGGGTATAAACTGAAATAGCATTTTTGGAGGGAAATTTTGTAATAACGACCATAATTAAAATGGCATATAACCTTTGACCCAGTCACTCCAAGTAATCTATTCTTTAAGTACACATGCATTGGTACACAGGGACATTGGGGGAGGGATATGCATTGCAGCATAGTTTGTAATAGCAAATGTTACTAACCTCACTGTCCATCAGTAGGAGATTGTATAAATATCATTTCAGATCCATACAATGGAATACGCTGCTTATTCCAAATTAATGAAATATGTCTATATGCACTGATATGTAAAAACAGCCAAGATACATTCAAATAGCTCCATATA